TATATATATATACCTATAATATATTTGGAATCAAACACCCATGTACTATTAAGTATAARGTGCCAAATAAAATTGTATTGTATTGTATTGTATATATTACAAGACTCCATAGATGATTTACAGTATGCATCATAACAAATGTGGCAAATATCTCGAAGTGGTTCATTGAAAATTACTAACATATTTAGCGCGGATTAGTCTACCTCAATCTCGAGACTTGGCCTACCTGTGGTAAATTGCGCACGCATGTCATTTGTAGTTAACACCTCTGACAATAAGACTGCTGTTCATTAGCTATTCAAATGTCATTCAGGATCGATTGAGAAGAGAAAACCAGATTTACTTAGAATATCATGACCAAGCTAAAGATTTTATTCTAGTTTGTTCACTCATGATACCCAGAAACAAAAAGAAATGATTCCTAAATTACAAGAAATCTTCCTTTGAGACTCGAATACTTTCGTAACGCGATCAAAGATTCTATTCTAAACTCTTGAAGTGGTTTTGTGGTTTGGACGTCGACTTTTCTTTACCTTAGCATAATGTTGTAATTCTAACCGTTAGACTTTTGACACAAATCTTTTACGTTCTGCTACTGGGTTGGAGAGCGTTAACAATATGTCTACGGTAGCGGAGTTTTTTGGCAACCCTCTGGTTACTTGGGTAAGTTTTTTATTAACTTATGCGTTTGCGAAAAACTATTGTGATTCTATAAAAGTAAAACGACTAAGTAAACTTGCTTGTTTGTGCGCAAAAAAGCCACCCGTTACAAACGTAATTCGTACTTGGGATTAACAGAATTTTTTCTATTCCCGCCTAGGTTAACACATTTAAAAATAACTCTCCTGCGGAGACCATTAATGAATTTGCCGATGGAGTTTTCCTCAACGAAATAATGGTCGAAATGTAAGTAAGAAAGCTTCATAATTTATCGAACGAACCAACGATTTTCAACCTGAATGAATAACATTAACTAACTTAAGCTTATTTCTTTTTAAAGTTAGATTCTTTTTTGTTAAACTTGTTGATGAGAAGGGCAAGCAGTCGATGAAACAATATAGTGTATATATAACTTATGGTGGATTTTTTTTCTAGCGATCCTACGTATTTCACGCTAACAAGAGTACACCAAAATGTGGACGGGGACACTAATATAAGAATACAGAACCTGGACATTTTGGTTCGTCACTTAAAAGCATTTTATCAGGTAAGCCACAGAAACCAGTCCAAAACCATGTTATAAATCCCTAATGCGAGCAATTCTTGAAAGAATTAGTTAGTCTGATTGTGCCTTACGAGTATCAAGACGAGCTCGAGATGTTTTGGTTTATAAAGAGTTGTTTGTAAAGCATGCTGCTCTAAGTAGTTAACCACCATTTTTAGAAGTGGAAAAACAAGATTTTGAAATACTATATTCTATAAGCAAAAATATAAGATATACAGCCAGATATATAACCATAGATTTGGTATAAAAGTAAAGTGATAATCGTTAAAGTTCAGATCGTAATTAATATTGGAATCATTTCATCTGCTTACGTCGCTGTTCCAATGTGTTTATAATACTACCAAAAGAATCATCATTTTCCATCAGACTCATCTTGGTATAATTAGAAAATTTATAACAAAACAATTTCTTGTTTTTATTCTACTCAAGTCTTAAGAGGCGATGTCAAGTTTTCGCACGTTGCCTTTTTGTGGCTTTTCGATCAAACTCTGGGCGTATGTTATACTTAAGTAGCTTTTAAAAAAAATCTAAAAATCTGAATCAAACGGTGGAGTTTAGCTTATCTAGACTTCAGTGAAGTCCACTTTCTTCTACGTTTTTCTTCTTTTTTAAGCGTTACTATGTAAAAAGGCATTTCCGGAAATCAGCTACTAGAATTGTACTCTTGCCAGCATTCAATTCTATGAAATACGCGTTCAGCTTTAATATTATCATATCAAGTGAAATAATTTGACTTTCAAAATAATAATGTCAGAACTAATTTAATGTAAACAGTATAGTTGTATATAAGAAAGACCTAGTTTATCGTTATTGCCGGCCCTATATCTTTTATTGTACTATGATTTATGGCCTGGTCATTTTAAGGAATTTTCAAGCTTAGATAATTATGCATTACAATATTGGGCATTGCTATTTCCGAAGCCAAGTGATATTTACTAACAATGAACTCAACCCTAAATATATACTTACATACTGGGAGGGTAAACATATCACTCATATCTTTGATGTATTCATATGTCACTTTATTTATTTATTTAATCACAATTTTATGACAACAACAAATACTGTGGATTACATTTTGCAATAAAATTCAAATTAGCTGCTAGAAAAGTTCATATATAATACAAGGACGATGTAATAGAGTAATAGAAATATTCTCTGAAATTGGAGAAAAAATTCTTTGTACTTGAAATATTTTAGTAAACACAGACAAACATTGATTTGTAATTAAGAAATATTACGAAAATGTATTTTAGCTTTATATAATGCAATAGAGGAATGTGCTATAGAATCTCTTGCATGTAGATGGATTAAGTTTACTTTGTAGTATTACTTTCATTCTGTTAAAAGTCATAGTCTAGACTTCTTTCTTTAAAACATGATTGAACAATTAAACAATGAAGTCTTTTACATGTAATTGTCATCTTTCTTTACCTATTAATTACTTGAATTGTTAGTTTTTAAAAATCAGGGATGATGGATAGTAAGTCTTTTCTAATAACTTGCTTAAGGGGCTATAATAATTTTAGACATGTGCAATTTCTCTGTAGTACTTTCTACACATCAAGGAAGCCATAAAAAGAAATCCTCAAATTGAATTACCCTTGCCTATTTTCTATTGTTTTCTCCCTTATAATTTTCAGTGCCATACTTGTATGAAATATTGGATTTTTCCAAAATTGAAAAAAAATTTTGTCTAGCACTGCTTATTTTGAGCCCTGCATATGAATTTTCTCTGATTTTTACGTTACTTAAAACCACACTGCATGATGGATTGTATAGATCTTTTATACTGAAAACAATCTAGCTATGACAACACTTATTTTATGGTTTTCACTTGAATTGGAATTGGAAGCCGAATTGAAATATGCTCTGTTATTGTAAAATAAAATATTGATCCTAACATAGGTGCATGATATATAATAGACTTCTTTTACGTAATACGTAATCAGGGCTTAGGATAATGGTGGTTCATTGGACACATGTCAGCTAGAATTTACACCTGTCCAGTCAAATCTTTAACGTTATGTTAGCTAAAAACTAATTTGATTGGCTATCATGGACGGCGACTGACCAGCTAATTTTTTAAAGCAATGGTTATTAAAAACTTGTGAATTGTACATGTAAATTGTTTTGTTGTGTATTAACAGGAAAAGTTACAGCAAGTAGTGTTGTTGAGAGCTCCTGATGTAGTAGCTATTGCTCATCATCCTGATAGTGGTAGGTATACATGTATATATGTTATAAACCAAGTATCAAAGTTCATTTTTCTCTCTCCCCTCATTGGCCAAGAGGGTGCTGCTTGATATGTAAAACTTTATGAAATGTCATGGTTTCTGGCAACCATTTTGACCAGATTTATTGGTGATTTATTCACCATATTTATTCTTTGTTCCGAGGATTCACGATAAATCAGCAATGGGTAACCTTTTACAGGAAATGTTATTAGAACAAAAAAAAACTACCAAATGTAACTTCAATTTTTTAAATTATCGAACTGGGATTCTGTAACAGTTTCAATAATATTGGATAGCGGACAACCAACTTTCTGGACTTCAGGAGTCAAAATGGCTCCCTCTAAAAAAATTTTGGAGTCAGACTATTTTGTAATCCCTGGCATTCTACATCATTGTATCTTACCAATGGGAATCATCATGATGATAATATTTTCCTGTAAGTACCTGTTTATTGTACGTACATCAATTATACATGATGTTTACTTGTTGTTTTTGGTTTTGCTTAGATGTTGGTCTACAAGAATTGATCAAAATTTTGCTTTTAATGCTTGGATGTGCTGTGCAGGTTAGTAATATTGTTTCAATATCTCATATTTGTTCTTAATGAGTTATATATGGTTAGTAAAATTTCTTTCCTGACACAGACTTAAGCAACACAGACAGTGCATTTAGATAGCTACATGTACTTGCTAGTGTCAAATTAACTTTTCAAGGGCTATTTACTCTGGCTACGGAACATATAAGATTTTTAGCAGCAGAAGATATGGATGCAATGATAAATGAGGAATATTTGTCCTGGATGGTACATGTAGAGAAAGGCAAAATGGGAATGAGGGTCATGGATGAGTTAGCAAAAATGGGATGGGATTGATTGGATTAGACCGGAATGAGTTATACTGTATGGATCACACGGTTTTCCTGCATCATAATTAATAGTCAAATTGATAGGCATAAATATTCACCTTTTTAATTTATTCATACAGTGTGACAGCAAAGAAAGCTTCATTGAAAAAATCAAAGAACTTGATCTGGAAGTACAGAAACATTTAGTAGACTGCATCAAGGAGGTAATATAAATTATTATATGTATATGTTCTATTAATGCTTGAGCTAATCGGTTTTCATCACTAATGTATATCGCTACTGTATATGTAGAGCTGAGAAGTTACTAGCCAAGAGGTTACTCTTAGTCATCCAGCATACTGGAATTATAGAGATCAAGACAATTCGCATTTTTTACTATTGAATTGCATTAAATTATTTGAATCATATAACAATATATTCATTTTCTTCCTTCGTAACTAGTATAATACATTATTTCCATATCTTTAATTCCAATAACTTTTAACAATTTTATAATATATTCATATTTTATAGTTTCAATCCTTTTTATAATTAGTTTTTTTTTCTTTTCTACCAGAGATTTCATTGTTATTAGTTAGTGGGGGCTGCCGTATATGAGGATTCAGTTCTTCCCTGGCAGCACCGTTTTTGCAACCTTATTCTATTATTATTTGTTTGCAAATAAAGTTATTATAAATAAATAAATAAGAAGAGATATTGGAATAGTTGCATCTCTCGTGATGGCTTAGACACAAATTACATCTTTACCCTAAATATCTTGACTTTTCATGACTTTCCAAAAATTCTACCCTGAAATTATAGCATCTAATGACAAAACTGTACTATGCACTATTTGATTTCTTTGGAAAATCCAGGAAGGTAGAGCAGAAAAATTTCCCTTCATTATGAAAAACCCAAGGGAAAGTTTTTTTTTTCAATCAGGATGGAAATGGTGGTTGAAAACATATTATTTTTCATCTTGCCTTCAAAAATGCTGTCGTTTCTGGGATGTGCTGGGCTGACTAGCGGCCAAACCCTTCATTCATTTTCAGATCTTCTCAGTTTTGTTTAGAGAGATTTAGCAAACACTATTTCATGTTGTTAAAAATAACAGCGCATATTGACTGATGGCTTTCAGAGCAACTATTGATGCTAAGATGCCACGTTCAGGAAGCCATTTTAGTGGTATCTACATTCTCTATAGAATGTTATAATGTGAAGATTCATTTTGAAAGCCTTTTGTCAGGGAAGGTGCCATCTTTCACATTAAGTTGTGTTTGCTGTAGTAATACCCTTTGTCTGTTGCATCGTTTTTCTAGATAACAGAGAACCCAAGCCATGTTTTGACATTTCGTCCTAACGAATTACAGGATTCACCGATGGAGTGAGTACAGTTATTAGATATGATTTATATTTAAAAAAAAAACAAAAAAAAAAACAGACAAGATTCATTAACAAATATCTCTTTCAAGCTGCCAACATTGCTTATAATTTTATTGTTGATCTATATTGCAGGCATGTTATTGATGTTGCTGAAAGCATGTTTTATCAAATGTGCCATTTAGTGGAAGAAAGAGATCAAAACTATGGGGTATGTACTGTAATATTATCTAATTCACTAATATTATAGTATACGTAGCTACAAAAGTGATAATATGTAGCAACTATGAATGAAAAAGATTACATATAGATTATATTATGAGTATATTAATTCTAAGCTGTTCATAGCCGGCAAAATTTTACAACAACTAACTATGAAACTGACTGAATGTTAGGTGCAACCTTGGAAGGAATGAGTGGAGTGGTGGTCATTTCATTTTACAGTATTATTAGTACCATATGTAATGAGTAATACCATGTCATCTCAAAGTTCTTTAGGCTAATCTGTAAATTCCAGTAGAACTGTATTTGTATGTACACCTACTTGCAAGAAGGTTGTCATTCAAGAATAGAACATTTGTAATTTAGTGAGAAAGGAATACATTAAAAGACAAAAGAAAATGTTCAGCTTCTGTGATCTTCTTTTGTTTTTTAATGTAATTCCTATCCCACTAAATCACTAATGTTCTATTTTCGTATGACAACGTTTTTGCAAGTAGGTGTAGTTTAAGTAATTTTAATTTTACAGTATAAGAATTGTTTATTTTTGTTGGAAGAACTGACTGGCTCTAATTTCCATTGGTATAAGTTTAATTTGATTTGCAAAATTACTGTTGTATGACGCTGTTTTTTGTTGCACATGTGTGGGGTAACTTAGCAATGCTGTTAAAATCTTCCACATGACTTTGACAGCCAACATTTGCTCATGTACATGTGCATTACTGGTATATATCAAGGGTCGTAGAAAGCAGTATATCAAACAAATTAATAACAAACAACATATACACAATATACCACTATTTACAAAACAGCCTAACTATCAATAAGCCTTTTCATAGTTTAAGAATCGATTCCACTGCGCATGCGATTTTTTCCCGAATTTCTCACCTTCTTTTGTCTAAACCTTCTTTTGTTCTTAATTAAACAAAAGAAGGTGAGAAATTCGGGATAAAGTCGCATGCGCAGTGGAATCGATTCTTAAACTATGAAAAGGCTTATACAGGTCTACATGTACATAACAGCCATGCACTCACAGCCCCATATGGTAGCCACATACTCACTACCTGACATCCTATCAACGCCAAGGATGGGTTGCTCACATTCTTTACCATTATCAGCAAATTACAAGTATAAATTATCATAACCATTATTATTGATATATTTAAGATGAAGAAGGGTAATAAAAATTGCAGTTTTAATTTCTTTTTTTTTTTACTAACAGGTAATCACTCATCTATCACTAGAAAAAGATTCTCTTTTACAGGAAAAGCAAGTAAGTTAAGTCTAAGGATAGCTTTATCTGAATGTATATTTAGGAATTTCATATTCTAACAAGAGGCTTGAGCTGGTCTGACATATTACGACACATGCACAGTATACAACTGTTTATAAGCTGAGAAAGAAAGAAACAAACAAAGGCAAACAAAAAATCTCACAGAACCCTCCAAACTGCCACTACAATGAAATTTTTATGTCTCCAAATTGCACTCTTTAAACACCGGGTTAAATTGCTTTACATAAGAAGAAAACTGGCATTTTCCATTTGTTGTTAGCATTCTTATTTAGAGAAATATTCAATTTTTAAGTTTATATGCTAATTAGGAGGTTGATGAAGTCATTTCCTTCAACAAAGATTTCAGTATATCTCTTAGAGTAGCTGATAAATGTCATTCAAAAACTTTGCAGACATACTTGTTTTTAAAATATGGTACATGAAAATGCACACACTGTGGTTGCTATGGTAATTCACTGGTGTCCAGGCCCCTAACAAGGATTTTGCCCTTTCAGCGATTGCTTTGTTATTTTAAACCAAATATGGCCATAACAGACATTTTTAACCTAGCCTCATTCGATACAACCTCTTGTAAAGGTAGAAATTTCAATAACCTGAATTTTAGGTAGGGGTGGCCTGGAACCAAGGCTGTTGCTATGGCAACTTAACTCTATAGTTGATTTTGAAGAATTACTAAAGTACTATATAATACCATATAATACTACTACATTTGGTTGATTTTGATTGAAAATGATCTGGAAAAATGGTCACTATTTTTAAAACTGCAATATCTTTTGAAGAAAAAAATATTACTTTGAAAAAAGAAAGTGACATTTCACTCAAATTGCTGTCAAAAGTCTTTCAACCTAGGCAAAAATAAAGGAAGTCAGAAATTTGATCATAGTGGCACTTTACAGTTACTGTACTGTAAATAAAAAAACAAATCATGCATGATATAATGATGTGAATAAAATTCTTTTGTTTTTAAATAGCGATCAAAATCACCTCGTCCATTTTCCCCTCCACCGTCGGTGGCAGCTCAGCTTTCTGCAGATTCCCCTTCCTTGATGGCATCAAGAGAAAAAATCAGAATGTTAACCGAAGAACTGTAAGTGTAGGAGCAATTCAATGCCCTTTTGTATTATTATTTTAAATTATATTTATTATAACTTTGTAATATTATTATAATATCTGTTATCCTTTCTTCCTCTTCTGATTTTCAGAGAAGAAAAGAATTCTCTTTTTGCAGAACTCAAAGAAGAAATGCTTGCTTCTAAAAAGACAGTTGAAAGACTTCGTCAAGAGGTGAGCAGAGACATATTTATTATTTAATAATTATTTTATTAAATAAGCATGCATCAACAGGCAGCATGTGAAATAGTCCAAAGTTTTTAACCAATCAACTGTGCAATTTTTTTATAAACACCTGGGTTATGATACTATAATAGTAAAATATAAAAAAAAATATTTGAATAATTAAAAGACATAAATTAAATTCAGAGCTTTCAATAAAAGGCGGCTACCGGTGGTGTATCGCCAGATACTTCATCTTAAACTGCAGGCTATTTTGACAAAAAATTAATTCATTACCAAATAAAGTTATATACAAACACCAGTGGATTCAGCCCCCTACTTTTTAGGACTAAACACCTACTACAAATATTATTGAAGGCTCTTATAATTTAATGTTTTGAATTGATTTATCCCTTCTCTTTCAGAACAAGTTGCTGTCACAGGACGCAATATTGGTCAAGACATACAGAGATCAAATGGATATGTTAAAATCTAAGGTTGGTCAACTATTTAGTAAATTATATATTATTTTACTCACTGTTTGACCTCTTATTTACTGAGAACATGAAAAAAAAGAAAAAAAAGAAAAATATATTAAAAAATGGCTATGATATTGAACCCCCACCAGGTGGTATTAAAACGCAATAGACATTATTTTAAGACTCTTGATACTTTGTGTCAAGGAAAAACATTTTAGATAAATGAAAGATTGCTAAGAAAATAATACATACCCAAAATTTGATTTACATTATACATGTAGACGGTGTTATATGAGATAAAAGAGGTTAACCCTATAATTTGAGAATATCTCCTAAGAACGAATTGGAATTTTAGGATTGTGATTTTTGTGGAGGGAGGAAAACCAGAAAACCAAGAAAAAAACTCTTGAACATAGGAGAGAACCATGCAACAAACTCAACTCACCTACAACACAGAGTAAAGTAAAACATTTTCAGTTGCATGTCGCCATCCCTGAAGCTCTAGCGCCCGGATGTAAGTGGATGCTGGTATGCATAAATTTAATCCCTGGATGAGTTTTTGCTGTCATATAGTGCTATCTGCCTGTTGTACTAACCGGACGCTGCTTATTTGCCCTTTAAAGGAACCTTATGATTAATTATAAGCCCAGGTCTTTATCTTAACAAGTATTTTATGGTATTTTTTAAAGAGGTTCTGATTGAAAATTATTTTTGCTCTCAGGCTGACAAAGTTGAAAAACTTGAGACAGATGCAGCAAAATTTAAAGAAAAATTAAGGGATCTAGAGTACCTGAAAAAGAGAGCTGAGGTAAGAACAAAAAAAAATGTCAAGACTACTGATTCTTAACCTCTTGTTTATTAGCCTTAACAGAGTTGTTGGGATGCAATGTATGATGGGGGATGCTACATACACCAGTCAGTTGAGATTTTATGGATGAACAGCTGAAAGGAATAGAAGGATAAATGTAATTTCCTCCTCCTCCTCCTCCTAAGCCTGTACACCCCTAGTGGGGTGTATAGGCAATCAACAAGCTCAATGTAATTTAGGCAAGGTTAAAACTGAGACAATGCTGGCCAGTGGTCTTCCACATAGTAGCTGGTTGGGGGGGATCTGAGGGGTCTCAGGGGCTTGAAATGTGCTTGCTGCTTGATTTATTCTCCCTTCTTGCTGGTCAACGCGGATCAATCACATGCTAGCCCAAAAATTTATTGCTAATCGTTGTGTATCAATATTTACCCACCTGCCTCCCTGATCTGGGTAAGTATAGGTAAAAATAGATAAATATTTTCCACTGAATTTCAGCGTGACAGGGTTGTTGCCATGGTTACCTCCATGAGGGACTCGGGCTAGTGTGGTCAGTCCTTGTTGGCCCCAATCCCAAGCTCTTCCCACCAAACAAAGTATCATGCAATTTAGCCAACCACAACTTAGTATTGAAACAATAGATTCGGCACAAAAGCATATATTTTTATTTATAGGTGTGTGTTTGATCAGGAGTCAACAGGAATTAGTTTAAACTCCAGGATTTGTCATCATTCTGTTATTCAATGTCAAAAATGTTAGTGCTACTCTGATGAAAATCGCTCAAACTTGGATTCAGCTGAAACTTCCTAAGAATACCGTCCAATAATCATTGTATGAAGTGTTTTCTCGATATATAGGACGAAACTGATATTTAAAATAAACTGATATTTAAAATGAGTGTATGACGTCACAGACTCCAAAAAATAATCGTAAAAATATCATACTTTCGTCCTGAATATTGAGAAAACACTTCATACAGTGATTATTGGACCTTCAAAATTTGTTTGGTTGGACTTCGAAAACCTCCCCATGATGTAATGCGTCCTGCCACTCTGGAAGGCTTATACTTGTGATAAGATGCAGTTAATTCCCTCTTTTACTCTGACAAAGGACTACAGCGTAGCGCCTGAAATTTTACGGTGTAAAATTTACCCTTTTATCATTACTGTTTCATTAGAAACACCGACGCAGCTCACACTAGTTTTTAGCTAGTTATCTCTTCTAAGCTTTTACATATGATTGTAGGAATTAAAGGAAGAGAATCAGTTATTATATGATAACAAGGTATTACTCGAGGGACAATTATCTGGAATGTCAAGCAAGGAAGAAAGAATTGGTAAGCTAATTAAGATGCCTTTCTAACTTTTACCAAACAGTGATTACGTTGACAAGTTCTTCCAAGTACTGACTGTGATGCTGCATGTTTATCCACTCTGGCCATAAATGTACTTTTTATTCAGTTTTAGATGAATATATCACACTGTATTTTATTCGAAAACTACTAAATCTAACATTTTGATTATATATCAGATATTTTCTGAGGATCTCAGAGGCATTGTTAGTACTAAATCTTGCATGAGATTTGAAAAAAATATTTTTTTAAATCAAGGGTAAATAGATAAAGGCCGGTTTAGAGGGTACGATTTTCGCCTACAACTATCGTATACAACACGCTCGCGTCTGTCATAGGCGAGTTGTAGGCTTGATTTACACGCTACGACTCGAGTTGTAGGATGGCCTTTTTTTAAACACAGAATTTTTGGAGGAAGAAAATAAGAAGCTTAAATCTCATATTCATCATCACATTACACAATTATTCATCATATTCGTCATTACATTACACAACTATCGTATACAACACGCTCGCGTCTGTCATAGGCGAGTTGTAGGTTTGATTTACACGCTACGACTCGAGTTGTAGGATGGCGCGAGCGTGTTGTATACGATAGTTGTAGGCGAAAATCGTACCTTCTAAACCGGCCTTTAAAAATTCAGTGATCTAATACAAAAAATTGGCAATTAATTTTGAGAGGTTTTAAGTGGTTTCCAGCTTTTTTAATTTCTCTTTCCTTATAAAAACCAATTGGTTACTAATAAGATGAGACGTGTTTGTGCAAGACAAGTTTCACAGGGCTGTTACACGGCGCAATTTCGTCCTGAAACTTGTCCACGACACAAGTTTCAGTTGCAGAAGTAGAAAACATTTCTACTTTTCATGAAACTTTCTCGTGTAAAAAGTTTTGCGAAGCTGGGGTGTTACACGGTGCAATTGCTTCTGAAACTTGTCTCACAACGCTGTTGCATACAAGTTTCACCTAAAAGTTTCAACGTGTAATAGGGCCTTCAGTCACAACATTTTTTCAACATTGTTGCAACAAATGGCCTTTTTTTAAACACAGAATTTTTGGAGGAAGAAAATAAGAAGCTTAAATCTCATATTCATCATCTTGCTGAGGTAAGATCCTAGGCGAATGGCAAGGGCGGATCCAGGGGAGGGGTTAGGGGCGTCCTAACCCCCCTTATACAACTTGTTGTTTTGCCCTTTTTTATCCTACTATATATATTAACGAGAATCTTTTCACTATGACATTGTTAAACCTTTCCTATTGAAAGTCATGATTCATATGTAGGTTAATAACTTGAAAGCCAAATCATGTTGTCGTGTTTGCGATATGAAAGATTATGGCCGGCATAGTATATGTATGACGTCAAAAATGACGTCACTTATTGTAGGTTTTGATTCTCCCATTCCCTCTCAAAAAAATCTGGATCCGCCCTTGAATGAAATAGAAATAAAGTGTAGAAATACGTATGAGAGAGAATATAATGAACCTACAGGTTAAAAAGGAGAATGGAAAACTATGGAGAAAGCGAGAATGGAATATTGAGTGTGTGGATTAAGAGTTTCACTAGTTATAATTCTTTCTCCAAGTAAAATGTTCTGTCTCACCCAATCCAGCCATGTGCAGACTATGGAGGGGATTGGAAAAACAATTAGTGATTGAGAAAAACTAAATAATTGTTAATACAAACAGGAACGACAGTATGACCAGGAAAAGATGAAAGAAGTGATGGCAAGTAATGCTCAACTGACTCTAGAAAAACAGGAAAGGTTAGTACTCTTGTGATATTTTCAAGCAAAGAATATAAGTGATAATGTTGTTGTGTTTATTTTAGCATGGCTGAGGTATTTTCTTTGAGTGCTGAAATCGAAGTTTTGAGAGGAAAAAGCCCTTTAGGTAAGGATATTAACGTCATAATTTCTTTCTTGTTTAATAAGATAGACTTTAACTAACAGCTTTAGGTGGTCTTTGGGCCCCTTCACAGCCATCATTAGTGTCGTTTCCAGATCCTCATGGGCTCTCCGTCTGGGGCTGACACCAATTTTGGCTGTGCGCTCAGACCAAACAGCCGGAAGACTCTGGGCTCAAGGTTGACTGTAAAGGAGACTAAATAGTCTGAGGCCTGAGTGTAATGATTTGATTGATGGTGTAATTTGTATTGCTATACTCTTGTCACTTAGTTTACTTCTTGTTTGGTCTTAGGGTCTGTTAATCTTGCGAGTGAATGTAATGAATCAAGGTACGTTTTACTGATATGCAGTATACAAAAAAATCTATCACATTAAGATCCTGGTTATTGAACTCTAAATTATATCATTTTGAAAAGAAAAGTAAAAAAGAAAAAAAAAACAACAACTTGCTCCTGATTGTCGTAATGGAGCCTTCTGCTTTGACTGATTTGCACGCGAATATATCTTTCTCTGCCAGCTCAGACTAATTAATATATTTAATTAATATATTCGTTTTATCCCTTTAGCTCAATGGATGTTTTACGACTCTCCCATCAAAACCAACATCTGAAGCAGTCCCTTGAAGATTTACGCGGTGCCAGTGCAAAACTTATCGATCTAGAGCGCGAGAATAGAACGTTACATGACAAATATCTAGAAGAGAAATCCACTAATCATCGCTTGTCTCAGGTATGACCAAATTATTTCATTAACTGCCACTGTGATGTGACTTTAGCACTTTATCCTGTGCTATCCTTTTGCCATTGAAATAACCGTCGTCTGTTTGTTTGGTTGGTTGTTTTGTTGATCTTTAGTTAGTTTGTTCAGCGGTCGATGAATGGTTGTTTTCTTGTTAGTCAGTTTGCTTAAGGTAAACGTACTCCATGGATTTTTGAATTAGGTTTTTTATACTAGTTCATATAGATAAATAAAATGTGTTAGAATTTCAAAAGTACGACAGTGCTATCTAAACTAAATATTCGCTGGCTTTTATTTGTAGGAACTTGCAAAATTCAAAGTGGAAAACAAACAAAGGGGTACAGAAGTTGAAAAATTAACGCGAAGTGTCCGTGCATTGCAAGATGAACTTCACATGTCTTCTGGTGAATTGAAGCAACGAAGAGAGGTGATCGCTCATCTTGAACAAGAAAATTATAGGTAACTCTTTGTGCATATTTGTTATACATTTTGAAAATAATGCATACTAATGTGATTATGGTTGTCAAATGTTTACCGTTTCCTAACTTTCAAATGTTTCATTTGTCAGCCAAGCAACCGAACTGGAAGACAAGACAAAGAGCTCCCAGGATCAAGAAGGAAACGTTGCTTCCTTAGCAGAGAGAGCAGTGATAAAAGATAAAGAACTATCGAAACTCGCCAATAAGAACAATGAAAAAGAGGCTGTTATTTCAGATATGAAGAAAAGAATACAAGAAAAAGAGTCAACCATAGAAGAACTATCTGATTCGTTGGCTGGGAAAGAGAGGCAGCTAAAAAGCTTACAATCAAGGTGAGAATAGAATACAACACTGAACAAGCTATTATACTGTAAATACATGAATTAATATTAATATTTATATACCAAAACACCGGTTTGTTTACAGACTTGATGAAACTGTGGAAGAACAGCAAAAGGGAGACGAATTTATAAGAAAGCAGAAAAAAGAAATAGCTGAACTTGAAAACAGGTGAGTCAATAAGTTTATAGTTGATAGTAGCCATGACAGGAGGCAGGAAGAATTGAATCTTTTCTAATCTGATTTACATGAGAAAGAATTCAGTTTCCCATGTGACAATGACTCTATTGTTGTGCCTCCTGTCATGGCTGTCATGGCAGCCAGCACGTTATGGTGCGAAGCCTCTATTGGATCATACACCCGACAAACACCAATGTAATTTTATAACAAGAAAAACCCAGTTATTGTTGCAGGACTTTTGGGTTGATCGTTGCTAAACAAAGTAGCAACAAACAAACAAACAAGCTACTGCATTTTTCCTTTCGTTTTGAAGGCGTAGTGGGGTATATAATCAAGAAAACCTTGCAGTCATGTTAGAATTGTTAGATATCAAGCGCGACTTAACTCAATGGCATAGTTAACAAACTGAGATTTTCAGGCAAAGCCTCGCACGACGGACAATGCTTGTAGAATTGCATTTTTCAATGTACTGACTTTAGTATAAGATATACCTGCACCATATACATAACATGTGGTCTATGGGGAACCGCCTATTTGCACCTACCATTATAGTAGTAGTCGCTACTCAATATCCTTGTAGAATAGTTGCTTTAAAACCTTTGCATGTTTTGCATGTACTCAAGCACTCTTGCACCTTCTCTCAATTGCCAATTAACCATCAAAATCATCTTACGCTTGATTGTCTTGACTTCTCACAAATTTATTCTCAAATTCGGACCATTTTGGTTTTAACTTACTGACCATTTCAACTAATGAATCTCCATTGTTTATTCGTAACGTTTGTAACGACTTTTCAGTAATAAGGTTTCGGCCTCCTTTTTTGTTTTTAAATAATATTGACCTTAGCATTTCTCGGGTCTAATGTCCGGGAAGGTTTAATCGCATGACTCCACAAAATCAGTTTTTGGCATTGACAACGGTTAAGGCTTGACTTTATGTTTTTGGCATGGACTCCTCCACTTAAATAACATGCATAGTTTTTATCTTGCGGAATGACTGGTATTAGACAAGGACTGTTTTTGACAAGGAAAACCTCCATTTAGTCGAGATAATAATTAGCATATCGAATGAGTTGTCATTTAAAGTAGTTAAGCAATGGTAGACGACTCTACTTGATGGTGTTGCAAAGAAGCGTCTTCCCAAATCAACCAGGAGAATTCCTCATTCCCGTCCCACAGATTACCAGATGCTCAAGGTAACGTATCGGCAGATTCGTCGGCAACAGCCTCAGCGATGTCTTCTCGAATTCCCACGTTGGCGGAAAGCGACTTTCGCGAACTGAAAAAAGAAAAATCCAAGTATTACAAGCATGAGTGCCATCAGCGTAACCTTAAACTCTACAGAGAACGCGGCATGGTTCCAGAAGGACTGAAACTTAATGCCACGCCTTACGTTAGTGATGTCACAGAGTCGTTTGTTGCACGGTGGGAAGTTATTTTAAAGAGCGCCTCAGAAATGTTGCTAGATTTATTAATCAGTCACCATGAAGAAGCACTGCGCATGACATGGAACAAGATCACGAGARTGGAAGGCAGTATTCAGGATAAATACGGGGACGAGTTAGCTACACGGATCCTGCACCTCGGTAATGAAATCGCTAGAAAAGACAAAGAAAAGTTACAAGAGAAAGCACAAATCAAACTAGTTAAACGGTCTACCGATAAAAACCCAAGAAGGAATGAGACATTAAATGAATCGAAAACAAACAGGGAGGAAAGGTATGGAAGAGGTGAAGTTCCCAGAGAAGAGTTCCGTGACAGACAACAGTTTGGTGGATCAGGAAGAAGGTCAAGGTGGTCACGCAACAACTCTGTACGGTATTACGGAGGGGCTGGTAGAGGAAGAAAACAAACTACCATGTAAAATCCTAGGGAACTAAAAGACATGTTTTAAAGTATTTAATACGCCACATCCAATTAAACCATACTTGTTCTATTGGCCAGCGAATAATTAGTAGAACATTTGGTTATATTTGGGGTTTTTAAGTATATATATATATATATATATATATATATATAGTGTTTTTATAAGTCTTTAGTATTATATGCATTGAATTCTCGTGGTCGTAAGCGGTAATATATTGTGTAAAATGCCTTAAACCATTAATGATTTAAACAAAAAAGATTCTGTTATGACAGATTATTATGACGTGATTGATAGTGATACTGGAAAGCTTTTAAAAAATATATAAATAAATTGCTATCATGGTTTTATGTTAACCTATCGTGCATCAGTTGCTAATCGTCCCAAGAAGTGACTTGTACTTTTGATGTGCTACAGAAAGAGCAAGTTGATCCTTCGAATTCTTACTGTATATTCCGGGTAGAGAAAAATAATCCATGCAAATGGTTTTAAGCATTGGCGCGAAAAATAAATGCGAAAGAAAAGAGTTATGGCTTTAATTTATGATTTTTTGATTGGTGTGTGATAAAAGGCTTATGATTGTACCTAAATATAAAAATATTGGGGTTTTTTTAGTTTTTTTAGGAAGGTACATTTTTTATTGGGGGGAGGGGAGGGCTAGGCGATTCGCAGTAACTTTTAAAATACAGTTGTAGCCCTCCCCTTTCACGCAGTAAGAAATTCAGTACCCTTCTATCGAGTAGACAAGGAACTATCGTCAAATTAAAAGTTTTGTTCAATTTTTTACTCGTGACCCTTCACTTTAAAGCCCCAGCCCTTCTCCTCCCCCAATAGAAATAAACGTTCAGTATGAATAATTTATTTTTAAATCAATAGGGTCCTGTATCGAAAACAACATTTACGTGTCGACCACAAATTCGAATATATATCATCCATGTAAACGTTGAAACAGCTCTAATTTTTTAACTAGAGGGAAAAACGTGAATAAACGATTGTTTTGTCAAGATCATTGTATATTGTCTTTTTGCATCAAGTACTCGGCTCAGCCTCTACTCTTGTTGTACTGTTTTACTTATAACGCTAGTTTCTATAATAAGAGGTTTTAGTTTAAGGAGTGTGTACAATTTATCCGGGTTGAGGAGGCCATGCAGGTTCTTACGTCGATCTCCCTGTACGATATGTCTTGGGAGGGTGACAGTGCATTTCAGTGTACTTAACCTTGAATGGGAATATATTTAAAAAGTTATTGTTTACAATCACAGCAAATAATATGGATTTCGTCAAGCTGACCATCATTAGTCGTGTCTCCGTATATTCAAGAGGGGGTCAAGATTTGCTTGTGTAGCAAAATGTTTTATGGAAATGATGGGGTTTAATCCTTAGAACAGGAAACCATTCCAAGACTTTGGGAGTGAAGAACGCTGTGAAGAACATCATTCAAACACTCGAACGTTGGCCTTTCAATATGAGTTTAAAGTTTGCTAAATCAATTGTTATTCTGTAAACTTTCTTGTAGTTTCCTTGTAAATGCATGAACTGTTATGTAATGTGATATTACGCTTAAGTCAAAATACGTAATGAGTTTTATTTCTGTTTTTGTAATGGTATAAGTTAAACAGCTCTCAGTGAAAAAAGCATAACTAAGTCTTCACATTACTAGAGCTTAACCTGTTTCCAGAGTAAAGTTTAATCATTCGGCTTGCATATATAATTATCGTTGAAACTTTATGGAACGCACCAAACCATTTCAGGCAATTAGCCATTCCAAGGTCGAGGAAAAAACTGGGTCGAGTTAGCTTTGCAGTGCATTGTGGTACAGTTTTAGGGGACGAAATAGACGCCATCTTTGAAATATGTCCCCTAAAATAGTCCCACATTGCCCAGCAATGCCAACTCGACCAAATTTTTCCTCGACCTTGGAATAGCTAATTTAAAAAATATTGCTCTCAACTTAAGTTTTAGGATAGATCCCTTTATCTTAGGTGTAATGTTTTCCCATTTCAGACCTAACGTGATGACAGCCATTACATGAGGCAGGAACAATTTGAACCTAGTCTATTTTGATTTACATGAGGAAAAATTGTGGTGCCTCCTGTCATGGCTGCCATCACGTCAGTGTTGGTGCAAGCTCCTATAGTATCATTTCTTCGCGTTTAGCAGTTGCGCATGAAAAAACAAATGAATATGGATGCGCGCACCCACATGGAATGACGCGTGGTCTGACATGAAGAAAAAAATATGCCCTAGGTTATGCCCAACTTCGGAACAGCTTATTGCACATTTGGCAAATTTAAAGTTTGTTCTTGTGATTTAGACTCGAAGAAACATTGCATGAAAAGAAGAAATACCAAGAAGATGTGCGGCAAAGAGAATCGGAAGTACAAGATTATACTCAAAGGTATGCAATCCGCTAAGAATCGTTAGATTCACTCTGATTATCAGAAGGGACAGGTCTATCTGCAGTTGAGTACAAATACATCTATTTCAAAAATTGTCGGTGAGAGAAATCTGATGTTTTTTGCAATAGTTGTATATGATGCGAAAATCTAATAAAAATATATAAGCTTAGTATGCAACATGCACGTGAAAAACCTTTCACCACATTTTTTTGAAATTAGCTGTATCGATTACCAGTATTTTTGGTTTGTTTTAGGCTGGAGGAAATACAAGGTACTAAATCTAAGAGTGACGAAAATTTGAAAAGGAAAGACAAGGAGACTTATGAGCTGAAAAACAGGTAGGCAGTGTTGTTGTTTTGCCATCAGGTATTGTTTGTGTTGATGAAAAATATAAACAGAGAGTAGGTTTCAGATTCTAAACTGTCCTTGCTCTGGTGGGAAAGAATGAGCTAGTCATGTAACGATTCGTTTTTTACTCTGTTGAAAGACGTTTCTCAATGCTGATTTTATAGTACCAATCCTAGACCTATCCCGAATTCGCTTGACAGACCACGAAATAATGGTTTGGAGTCGAGATTGAACTTGATTCTTTTATTCATCAAGTTCAACCTTAGTCTCCCCCACAGCCGCTTTCAGTGTCGTCACGCAACGCTTTCTCCTCTGAGTAGAGAAAGTGTTGCGTGACGACACTGAAAGCGGCTGTGGGGGAGACTAGTTCAACCTCGACTTCAAACCATTGTTTTGTGACCAGCAAGCGAATTCGGGATAGGTCTATTCCAGGTTAAGATCTTTAATTCGGCCAGCTTTTTGTTCTGTAAAAAAAGGAAAGAAAAGAAATACTTTAAATCTGGTTTTCCATCTTGAAGGGGTGAAAAGAGACAAAGAGGGTATGTCTTTCTTTTAGGGAGGAATCTTTTTGTTAATATTTTTCATCGTTTTGAACTCTGGAGGTTTTTTTTTCTTCTTTTTTTCTGCAAAAGGTCTGTTCAAAAGAAAAAGCCAGATGTGTTCAGTAAACATATTGATGATTTTCTGTTCCTCTGTACACTCACAGGCTCCAGTCAGCTGTAGAAGACAGTGAAAGATTATCAGATGAAATCAAAGCAAAGGACCAAAAAATACAAGCATTACAGAAAAAGTAAAGTTCGATGCTCGTTAATCTTTTCTCAATATTTAAACATATCGCAAACTAGTTTCAACTCACCAAAGATGGTCTATTTTTGCAGAATTGAGGATTTGTCGAACTCTCTTGACGAAAGCAATGAAGATTTCAACCAAAAAATGCGTGAGAAAGAAAAGCATAACAAGCAACTTGAACGCAGGTAGGGTAAGCGTTGATTAAAAAAGTGGATGTAAAAGTAACCTTAAACCTCCGAAAATAGATCCCCCTCCCCGTATTAATTATTAATTCATGCTATGATATCCACCAAATACAAGCCCATACTCTAAAACTAAATTCTAAACCAAAGAGTGTTGATTTTAGGTTTTTACTGGCTTACCGAGAATAATGTAGCTATTACTGAATCGTATTGTTCATAATGTGACCTGTAACAACGTCGCAATGAACTGCTTGTTGGCCTAAAGCCCCCCTCCCCCAAATAAGTTCACCCAAAACGTACGTTGAACAAATATATGAGCGATAATTAGCCATTCCAAGGTGAAAGGAAAAAAACTTCTAAGGCCCCGTCCACACGTATCCGGAAATTTTTGTGTCCGCAAATTATTTTTTGCGGATACGAAAATGTTTGCGTCCACACGCAGCGTATTCGAATCGTTTTCACCGTCCACACSTATCCGTTTTCGTAAAATTTGCGGATACGGACACAAAAATTTGCGGACACGTGTGGACGGGGCCTAAGTCTTAAAGAGCAAAAAGCTTTGACGTAAAATTCATCAGTACCTGAGAAAATGATATGGTGGTTAATTGGTTGGGAATTCGTGAAAGTGGCCTAGTGTCTATCGATGATTACGCATTTTATTATTAGCGTATTTTCCAGTAATTGGCCTTGGAATTCATATTCATACCTTAAAAACTCCTTTGTCATCCTTTTTCAGCCGTAAAAATAATTCTTTTTACGAGTATCCATTGTTATTTCAATCCTATAACTACCTGTCAGGGATTTAGTCATTGTTGTTGCTATCATGTTTCCAGAATAGAAGAATTGGTGGAGTCTTTAGGCGAAGTGGAAAAGATGAAAGACACTGTAAAACAGAAAGACGAGAAGATTGTACAACTCACAAGCAACTTGGATGTCAAAGATAAGCAAAACAGGGAGTTAGACATCAAGTAAGAATACCAGCCATTCATATATTTTTACACTCTAAACTTCAATTCTCTACTTTCACATCCCCATAATACTTTGCGTCTTTTGGGGGTAACCAGAGGGTAAAAACCCACAATACCTTGTTTGGTATCCAAAAATAAAATGAGGAAGTAAAAAACAGAAAAAGATAGAAGCTTGAAGACGTTTAAGGTAAATTTTAAACATTGTTTTGTAAGTCAATACATTTTCTGTAAGACCAAAACTCTTGATGATCTGTACACGCAAAAATAACTCGGAATAAACTGATAATCAGTATTGTGCAGATAAAAGCAGGTATAGTATAATTTCAATTAAGAAACCTTTCAATTTGGGACAGTTTTTTGAATGGTTACCCCCCAAAGATGCAAGGCATTATGGGGATGTGAGAGTAGAGAATTCGATCTTTAAATTTGGCGTGCCTTCAGCCCAGAAGGCTGTTTTAGTAATAGATACGACATGAATATATGTCACATACAACATTTTCACAAATATTGTATCTTATTATATTCATTTTTAATGAAGATACTTGTTAGAAAAATACTTGTTATCGCTAATCACCACCGTAAGTACAGCAATGAGGTAGCTCAACTTGGTCAAAGCAAGTCAAGGCGCCACTGGCGGCCTCTATACTATCCATGTAATGACCCCAGAGCACAGCTATCAGTAGTTTGAATTGGTCAGGGTCGTTTTAAGAGGAGGGAGAAAAAAATTGGAGGGCGGCAAAAACCCTAGAAGTCAGAAAGAGTACTTTCCTGTTAGCAGAGCCTATTTTCCTTTTGTTTTGGAGGGAGAAAAGAGAAAAGTGGGGTCTGCCGAATGACGTAGGACGTTATACTTGTCATGATTATAGATGTCATGATTTTGACAGCCACCCTCGTCAAATTTCGTTTGCTCATGCGCTCTACGTTTACCTGGTTAAAATCCGGTTTTAAAACTGGTTTCGTTCGTACACGATCGTGGACACGGTAGGAAAATAGGCTCTGCTAGCAGGAAAAAGGAGGACAAACAAGTTCGACTCATATGGGGCAACTGAGGCAAGCGTTTTACTAACACGACATCCTCATTCCCCAGACATCCTGTTACTGATTTAAACAAAATTCAAAAGCAATGCAAGTAATTCAATTAGCAGGTGTACAATTTACAGAATACTAATGGAGGCAGGAACAACTGAACCTGGTCTAATCTGATTTACACAAGAAATAATTCAGTTTCCCAGGACAAAAAGACTCTATTGTTGTGCCTCATGTCATGGCTGCTATCACGTGATGGTGCAAAGCCTCTATTTGTATTTTTTATGGGGTTTACAATGCTCTCATTTAACCCTAGTCGTTCGAATTGGGTGTCACCCTAAAAAAAACAGTAAAGAATATGAATAGGGCCGGTATCGATAAAATAAATTAAAGAGAGGACCAAGAATTTGGAAGACAATCATTTGTGTTTTGGATGTTTTCTGAACCTGCTTTGCTATTAATCGTTTAGACTTGAAGACTCAAACAGCGAGAGGAATAAACTACTCCACACTATTAAACTTAAAGAAAAGAAAATCGATGCTTTGGAGAGCAGGTAATCTAGTTTTCATGCATGAAGAGGTAAATTTTCGGTTGCCAGTCATTGTATTTATTTCTTTTCTCCCATTTGCCCCACAGTTTGTCCGAAATTGAAAATAGCTCAGTTGTAGCGAAAGACGACCGAATCACTGAAATGAAAAAAGCTTTGGAAGTCAGAGACAATAGAATAGTGGAGCTGGAAAACAAGTATGTGTACATGTTAAAAATATAAGTTAGTCACACCCTTAATGTAGGGTATGTAAATCATGTTTCTTGTTGCCTTTAATACCTTGACCTGGGTGGCATTGGTGGCGTACGCTTCTAATGCATCGTCTTTCACCGCTGTGAGTCCAACGGGTCGGGTTGCTGGTTCGATTCCAACCAACGCCATATGTGAGTTGGGTTTTTTTTGCTGTGTTTTCTCCCTTGCCACAAGGGTTTTTCTTCGGGTTTCCTCCCTCCGTAAAAACCAAAATATTCAATAAAATATTCCAATGCTGTGGTAGTTCGTGTGAGTGGACTCGGAGATATTAGAGAGTTTTAGATTGACTTTTTTTTCTCCCCGCAAACGGCAAACGTGACCACGTTTTCATAGTTTTCCTGTATTTTACTTTACCTTTTGCAAACCTTCTCAACAAGCGCAAATATTCTTTTGTTTTTCTACTACTTGGACTTTTTTGCGATTCTTTTTCAGTAATTTAAAAGAACTTTTTAATGGTCAACTGACGTTTCACGTTTGCCGTGAACGTAAATCTAAAACTCTCTATTAGCAGTCTCTGCTACTCCCAAATCCGAGTAGAAATAGAAAGATTATTATTATTAGACAGATTAAGATTCCCGCCTTTTTCCTTCCCGCAAACGGTAAACGTCACCATGTTTTCATCGTTTCCCTACATTTCACTTCACCTTTTGCAAACCTTCTCGACAAAGACAAGTATTCTTTTGTTTATCTACTACTTGGAGATTTTGGTAATTCCTTTTCATTATTTTTAAAGACCTTTTTCATGATCAACTGACGCTTTACGTTTGCCGTAAACGAGAATCTTAAACTCTCTATTATTGACCAAAAACTTGCATACAGTAATTGAGGCTTTGTTTGACTTCAGGCTTGAAGACTTGACAAGTTCCAACAACAAGCTGCAACACGGCACTAAATTGAAAGATGAAAAGATAGCAGAGTTAGAGTCTCGGTAAGAAATTACTTCAGCCGTGTTTGGTTGGGTTCGTACTCATTTTCTTACTACTACGATACACTAAACCTTGACAGTTGATTAATTGACTATTAGCCAGCTAGTCATGTCATGCCAACCATGACAATTAAAGAAGAAATAAACTCTTATTAAGCTATGGAAAGCAAAATCGTTTCTTCTTCTTTTTCCATTTACGATTTATAAATGTTGGAGAATATAAGAAGAAATAAAATCGAAAAAAGAATTTACAATTTTTTTGTTGAATTTTTGACTTTGTGTATTTTTCTTGATCTAGGGTTGAGGAAATCGAAAGCTTGACATTTGAGAAGACGCGACTCAGTCAGAATCTCGACCTGAAAATGCGACAGATAATAGATATTGAGTCGAGGTAAAAACATCTAGAACTGATGACTCAGCTGAAGAAACCACCCTTATGTGCCCTTAGAGTTGTAGTTGTGCTGTCATCGATGCTAACCTGATATTTGCCGTTTCTTTTCGTTGAAGTCTTGAAGACTTTAAAGGCGAGAATCAACGTCTCCTACACAGTTGCTCACAGAAAAGTACCAAAGTCAAAGAACTCGAAACCAAGTAAGCGGACAAAAAGCTAAACAAGGCGGAGTGTACATCTTATTGTATAGTTTGTATATAACAAAAGTTGCTGTGGTAAAAAGGGGTTTCTTTATCAATTGGGTCTCTGCTGACAATCTATTTGTTTGCATTTTGTATTTCTGCCAATACTGCATCGTATGTCATTGGGCGTAATATTGACTGGGCGCCTCTCCAGTTGGATAAGTTTGTGACAAGCCAGACCAGTCCTAATCTCCCCCACAGTTTCCAGTTTCTTTTTGCTTCTAATATTTTGGTACGAGCTCGATAGCTAAACTTATAGAAATATAAATCTTTTCTTTCTTTATGAACAAAGAAAACACTTAGTTCCGTCTCCAATAATTTTGGGGGGGGGGCATTAAACATTTAACAAGAACGAATTCAATTTTAATTTCCCAAAGATTTTCTCCAACTTCCACTCAAATGCGTCTTAGAATTATTTCTCTCGCGAATGTTTACAAGTTGTCAAATTCGAAACGTTTTGATTGGTTCTTGAAACACAATGACACTTTTCTGATTGGTTGAACGCAGATAATAGGAAAGGAATGTTGTGCTCGGGTAAGCAGCCGCTACTCAGGGGAGAAAGCGTTGCGTGACGAAACTGAAAGCGGCTGTGGGGGAGACTAGACCAGTCCTGATGTTTTGACAACTTGAAGTGTCCTTTTAGTGCTGACTAAATTTTAAGAGCTCCGTGCTCTATTCTTCAGTTGTTTGTTTTTATTTCTAATTTTGTTTGTTTGTTTTTGATGGTTTTAAAACCACATGTAACCAAAACAGAGGGTTAAGAGGCGAATTCAAAACAAATTGCAAAATCGTGTCGTATTTCGTGTTAAAAATAATAAAACCGATGATTTTTTAAATTCTTATACTTATAATGCGTAAGATTTTGATGTTGAAAATACCCGACCCCAAAATTATCAGTTCGTAATTGAACTATAGATAGACACTGATGATGTTAGATTATGATATTAAATGAGTGCGTACTGTCTGTTACAGAGTGAGAGAGCTGGAAAGTTATGTGGAATTATCACAAGGCCTTCAACAAACTCTAAAACATAAAGAAGAAAAGATTTCGACTTTGGTTTCAAATATGCAAGTCCAAGATGAAAGACTCACTGAACTGGAACACTGGTGAGTCCTCTGTGCTAATAAACGAGTGGTCTCGTGACAGAGCTAGCACGCTCTTGGAAACCACATGAAAAACTACGAAATAGGACCAGACTCCCTTAGATACTTTTGTTCAGTTAATTAGCACCAATTTTCTTACTATTCTCATGAGGGAATACAAATTTGAATAGGAAAAACATCACCAAGCATCTTGGTAGTCGGAATCAAATGACGCCATCATGCAAACGTCCTATTCAGCTTGTCGCATGTTGTTTACAAGTTTGGAATTCATTATGTTCATATTTAACAGCACAGAAAAAAATGTACCGGGACTATGATAACTGCAGACTGAGATTGTTTAAATTCTATATCCTTGTGACCTTTCGATAAATGACTTCACATCGCCAATAGTGCAATTCGGACTTGGTACGCAACATGCAACAAAACCATCAACCTCCTTTGAACTATAGCTGTATAATTTCAGGAAAATTCATGCTTTAGACCATGGAAATACTCAGAGATTTCAGCAAAATTTATTGATAGATTGTGGCTCAAATTAATTTTTAAAGAAATAACACTGCTATTATTTTTGCAGTTATTACGTTTTAGTTCATAAAATTGAATGCAATGTCTTCAGTTTTTTCTGTGTGAGCCCTACATATGTATTTCAGTTGTGGTTGTGTGACTTCATCCAAAAATCCTCTGGCCTTTGTAAATTTGGTGTCTGACAAATACTAAAAACTCGGGCATCTGGTAATGTCAAGGTCAATACTAGTAACCCATGAAAGAAGTTTCTATTTCTTAACTGAGATAATTAAAAGTTATGATTTTTTTTTTAGCCTAGAAGACGAAAAATCGCAGAATCACAAATTGACTCATTCCATGAAGATTAAAGAAGAAAAAATAGCTTCACTCGAAAAAAGGTAACGATTTTTTTATTGATGTTAAATGTCGTTTATGGTAAATGTTATAAAATGTAACTGTTATAAAATGCTTGTCTAGAATGGAGGAATCGGAAGTCATAGTCAACGAGAGTTTTAAATTGAGCCAATCGTCACACCAAAAAGATGAGAGGATCAAAGCGCTGGAAGATGAGTGAGTATAAAGATGAATTATTATTAGCAGTGGTTAGTGAACTGGTCTGTACCAACTTAACCAAGGCCTCACCTTTCACCAAGGGTTCGATCCCCAGACTCGGTGTCGTATGTCAGTACAGTTGGTTGTTTGTTCTCTTCTATACTTCGAGGTGTCTTCTCCAGATTCTCCAGTTTTCCTCCGAGAAAAATCAACTTCTAAATTTCAATTGGAATTTAATGGATAAATAGCCACGCTGTAAAAATGCCACTATGAAATCCCATTCATTTTTTTTATTTTTCAATTGTTTTATTTTGTATTGAAACCTTTATGTATAGTTTTCACATTTATTCCAAACCTCAAGTGAGTGTTTGACAGGCCCCACCTTCCCAACCTTCCACACGCGATCGTAGCACAGCTTCTCAGATTAAATTCATTCGTTTTTTTTTTTTTTTTTTCCCCATCTTATTACGTAGGCTGGACGAGCTGGATGATATCATGACAACAAATGAAAAGTTACTCAAAAGCGTAAAACAAAAAGATGACAAAATCAACAGACTGCAGGACAGGTGGGGTTGACCTTTCATTTCAAACTCGATTGCATGAATACTCCCTTTTCCATTCGATAAAAACGTCTGTGTTTTGGGACTTAAGACTCAATGACTTCACAGGCTTAGACTTGCTTAAGTCAACTGTAATGTCCTTAAAGAATGTGTAGCTGAAACAATACCTAAGTTTTGAAATCCCATGGCCTTTTAATGGCATCTGTGAAATCTTTGAATATCTGATTTATAAACGAGGCTAAGCCTGTGCAAATAAGTCTGTCTTTTACTTATACGCCGGCCGTCTTGAATTATTAGATTATAAGGAGGCGGGGTTACGTTTAAAAAAAATGAAGTCTTGGTGTCTCGCATATGATTGCTCCAACCACCAGCAAATTTAACTGCTTTTTAGATGTGCTTCTCAATGAGAAGCGTTAAGTTCTGTAGTATATAAATTTTCCAATCATTGACCCCTCGGTATCCCATAATGTCTTAATTAATACAATAAAATTCAAGATGGCCGCCGAATCTATTGACATGCCCCAAATCCAGTTTCTCGAGATTGTGTGGCCCATTGTTTTGATATTGTTGCTCACCATTAAACCATGTATTGATAGGCTCGATGAAGTAGAGGATGCAGTAAACTTAAACAACAAACTCAATCAGTACCTAAAACATCGTGACGATAAGATTAAAGCTCTGGGTAAAAGGTGAGCTATCCGTAGAGTGTGTTCTCCTGACAATCAAATCGATGATCATTTCGGTGTCAGTAGCATGAACGACTAGTATTACTACTTTTCTGGATGATTTTCTCATTGAAGTTGTCTCCAGCCCCACTCCCCAATCAAGATTTCACTAGGTGGTTTTCTGTTACCCAAGTAGAGGCGGAAAGGCGATTTTTTTTAACAAGCAAAGCAAATGGACTAGCCAGGAGTGGCTTGAAATCTTGCCTTGCATTGTAAGACTGTTTTTGGGGGGGGGGGGGGGGATAGACGCCATCTGAGAAATATGTCCCCTTAAACCGCCCCTTAATGCATTGCAATACCAACTCGACCCAGTTTTCCTCAACCTCAAAATGGCTGATATTTGTCCCCAACTTACCCTCAACCGTAGCAGTTTCAACAAATTAGTTATCAATTAACAGAATACTAGAACTTGAAGCGACGCTTGAAATGAAGGAAAGGGAACAAATTGCAAACGCCCAAGCAAACTATACAAAGATTCGTGAGCTAGAAGCAAGGTAATAATTCAGATGTGTTGATTCTGTACTTTTGGTGTTTTAACGTCATGATGATCACAGTGTGACTCGCCAACCAAGTCCAACCAGACAAAATTTCATACAAATTAGCCAACTCACGACGATTGAGTATTTAAACAATAGAATCAGCACAAATTTTCACGTTTTCCCTTTAAAAGCATATATCTTTGTATAAATGTGTGTTTATAACCAGGAGTGACCAAGAAACAGTTAAGACTCCAGAATTCATTATCATCGTCTTATTCCGCGTCAAAAATCTGATTTGTAAATTTGATATTAAATTTGTTTGGGTGGCCTTGGTTAGTTAGCCCCACTGTAATACTCTTTCGTAATTCTTGAGGTACTTACTGATTTGTACACAGCTATTTTCAAAAAGGTCAGTTGTCTTGTGAGTATTAAATACTGCATACCTTGAAGAACGGCTCTAATCCTTGTGGAATTTACAACCAGTTATAGACCAAATTCAAAACTCGCACCGATGTGAGGCTTAAAGTTGTGAACAAAGGAATCTGGCGTGATTCGTGACTTTTGAATCACGCCAGATTACTTTGAGTCACGCCAGATTCCTTTGTTCACAACTTTAAGCCTCACATCGGTGCGACATACACCTTTTGGACATACACCTACTTGCAAGAACGTTGTCATACGAAAATAGAACAGTGATTTAGTGGGATAGGAATTATATTAAAAAACAAAAGAAGATCACTGAAGCTGAACTTTTTCTTTTGTCTTTTAATGTATTCCTTTCTCACTAAATTACTAATGTTCTAATATCATATGACAACGTTCTTGCAAGTAGGTGTAGATGTATACACTTTCAGAAAGCGTTGTCATCACCAAAGGTGATAGGTAAAAAGCAATAGGATATATGTCATTTCGAGATCCAAGAATAGCTGGAATGAATTGTGTTTCTGCTTCTTATTCTCATCAAGAACATGGACCTTAGCGTTGAGACTGATTCAATGTTCGTCGTATTTAACGAAACCATTTCCATGTCGGAATGATCTATCGCCTATCGCCTTTGATGATGACAACGTTTATTGAAATAGGTGTATTTCTTTTAATTATTTTATCATGGTCCTCATCTCTTTTTCATCCCTCCCCCTTTGAGTCCCCACACAGACTGTCTTTCCCGGCCAGTGTCTATAAGGGACGAGGACCCAGACACGCCGGCACGCTAACACTTGACTGAACTTTGAATCATCTAATACTAACCATATTAATACTAAAGGTTACTAGTGTAACGCTACTAACTCTAACTGGCTATATTATGACAACAGTAATCAGCTCAGTTCTACTAACCAGCTCTAATCAGACGTTCTAAATTAATCTACTAATATACTAATATGTAACCTGAACGACTAACCATTAACAGATCTTGTCATCAATCATTCCTTGTTGGATGCTGTTGTTATTTCTTTACTTCAAATGAAATTTTTATGGTTCCAGTTTGGAGGCAGTTAATTCCGTTAAGGTTCAACGTCAGAATAGCGTTAAGCGTCGAGAAGACAAAATTCACGATTTGGAATATAGAAAAACGAAGTAAGTCGTGTGTTGCTCGTGAAAAAGTGGGCAAATATCAACTCAATTGTACCAAACATTTATTGATCATAAAACTATAATAACTAAGGATAAAACTTGAAATAAACTAGATTAAAAGCAACCTAAAATTAACTACTAATGTCCTGGACCTGTCTTGTCCTGTTTGTTGCATTAATGCACTAGTCAATTGTTACCCCTACCCCCACCCCCTCCTCGGCCTGCTAGATTTACAATACCGCGTGAATGTTAAATCCCCTGCCCTGTCCCTGGATCGGGGTTTTCAATTGAGTTGTGTAAAATTACCGATACACTACTGATGAGAATAGAACGATTTCAAATAACGCCGGGATTTACATTTGCTCTCAGTACAATCTCGTACCCAGAGCCTGCGTTTCTTCTGGCCTGCGGCGAAGAACGAGGGCTCTGGCTCTGGCTTCCGGTCAATCTCCTACCCAGAGCCCACGTTCCTCATGATCAGCACCGAGAAACGAGAAGCTCTGGTTGTAACCGATTTTTTGAGCATTCCTATTGGTCCGGGGAAATCAATAGAAAGAGTCGTTCCGGAAATAAAATGGCTAACAGACTCGGAAAATATCAGGAAATAAGTGGATTTTTCAAGCACTAAATTGGCTTGAATCGAACTCAAAATTTGCTAGAATGTGGTACGATAATCAATCTTTCGTATACCCGAAGTAGATGAGAAGGAGACTGGAATTTAAGCAAATTTTCACGAGGATTATAGTGCGAGTCGAGTTGGCGGCCGATCGCTCTTGCATTTGTCGTGATGATTTGAACTCAAAAAAACGTGTTAAAAACTCGCAAAATAGCACAAGTAATTAGTACCCGGGGGAAAAATTTACTAAATAAGCTTTAAGAAGGCAAAGGATAAATAATTTAACTACTATATTCAAGCTAAAAAGGTCAAAAATTGATTACCGTTTGTTCTGAATCCCTGAAGATCAAAGGTAACCAAACATCAGCTTACCTGTGATTAAGGCATGCGCATTTGAAACTTCCGGTCCGATATTCACGGACCGGAAGCCAACTGAAAATCGGTTTGAACCAGAGCCTCTCGTTTCTCGGTGCTGACCATGAGGAACGTGTGCTCTGGGTACGAGATTGGCTTCTGGTATAAGAGCGCATGCGTTCAAAGACTTGCCAAAAATAAATAAAAATTAACTAAATTCTGATTGGACAAGAATCGTTCAAACTTCACTGATATAATGTTTCAGCGTAAATCAATGCTTGAATTTTACCCTGGATGTTCCAGTGTAAACTATTATTTTCTGTGAATATAAAAATATAAGTTTAGAAGTGTTTAACCACACATCCATCTCATCCCATTCGTTTATCCATGTTTTCGCCCATTACTTGGTGGATTTTAAAGTTTGGGTTATTTTTTCTTTAACCTGAAAATAAGCTCTCTTGGTCCCCTTCCCCCGAGGTCTGATATTCAGGTTATTTTTTCTTATCAAATAATCGAGGTGTTTATGGTTTCAGATTTAAAAGCGTTTCAACAATTACAGCCAACTCTCGCCTTGCGGACACCTCGATATTACGGACACCTTGCTATTACGGACAGGAGAAAAATCCCCGACAAAAATACTGACAAGAAGTGACGGTCCCGAAGGTGTCCGCTGTAACGAGAGTTGACTGTACTCTGCGAAAACGGTCCACCAGCCTTGCAAAGTTTACCTAACTACACTGTATAAATGAAAACCGGCAAAACATTTTAACTTAAAACGAAGCAACAGGTGGAAATGAAATATTGTGATTGGCTAAGGCTAAAATGATGCTGGTTCTGCTCTTTCCCGATAGGCTCAAGTATTTCTTTCCATCAGTCGTTATTGGCTGTTTTTTTTTTTTAATTTTATTTTTTTAAGTTTTGTTGCGCTTAGAGTTCACTCAGGATGTACAGGGTACAGTAAACTTGAATGCTGTTGTTTGTTATAGGTTAGAAGAATATGTGCAAGAAAGAGAAGCTAAAGTACATGCTCTTCAAAGCCAGTATGTTCAATGTCTTATTACAGCCATTTTGTCCTCTTACAGATTTAAACTAGTTTTTATTCATACAACATGCAGTTGGCCCAGGTTTTTATCCCAACAACAGGGATCCCAAAAAAATGGGAAAGTAATTCGAGGTGAACTGTCTCTAACACTTGTCATTGTTCGTTCATGTTCTTGTTACATGCCCTATGTCTCACGTATAGGGCTTTTAAGTGTAACGTCAGTCATTTGGAAAAACGACTTCCGGGTCCAAAATAATTAGCTGTTCTAGAAAGATTTTTCTTACTATTTCATCATGGCCGGAATTGATACCCTAGTTCTGATTGTTTCAGGGAGAGGTTACATCTTTGAGAACATATTTCACTTTGTTTTATCGTTTTTGTGAGAAGTTGGAACCGGAAATACGTGGCAACTTAAAAGCACTATACAATATTTTATGGCACACTTTCCTGAGAAACGCCCTCGTTGCAACAACGTTCCATACAAACCCAACAATAACAAATACAAATCCATGTGTGAGTTAACATGCAAACATCGAAGCAGTCGCCCACTAGCCATAGGAGGCAAAGCCGCTTGGAAAGTCAAACGGTTAACTCCTACCAACTTTTCTGAGATAGAGTGATGCATGGCGGTCCAGCTTCAGTGCAAACATTTTGTTTACCGTACCATATATAGTTGTTTGTGTCCATATACTTATCGTTGTTGTGGTTAATGCTTGCTTTTGATGCATAATGTAGGCTGGATGGTTCAGTAAATCGCTACAGGAAAATGGACATGACAATCGGAGAGAAAGATATGATGATTGCAGAACTAGAAGCCAGGTAAATATATACCACATTGCTGAATGACACCGAGAAAGTTTCATAGCAAAATATATTCATGCTCCTTCTTCATTGTGTTATTACTTGACTGGGTTATATTGATGTGTTGTGTCTAGATTGAGTGAAGCCAAAGAAGCTGGTCGCGAAAATAATAAGTTAAATCAAATGCTGAAAGCCAAGGATGCAAGGCTGACAGAGCTTGAAAACAGGTATGTATGACTTGTTTATTATGTTATGTACCCAGGCCCGTAGTAAAGGGAGGGGGCAGTTTTATTAGATCTTCTTTTTTTCTTCTTACAGCTGAGTTATTTTACACATTATATTTCAGGGTTCAATCCTTCCAGTCTTCTATGTCAAATACTCAACTACAGGAAAAGGAAAGAAATGAAAAATTAGAAACCCTACAAAAGAGGTAATTGTTAGAAATTGTTTTGATTGTATAGACCACTTTCATGTGACGTTAAAGCAGTTCGATCAGGTGGACAAAATAAAAGAATTCCAATCACCTGAGAATTGGCACCTATTGTTTTGTACCCCAGATTGAGATACTCAGTATAGCAAACTAAAGGACCCTTTGCACTGAGTCCCAAGAGGAATTAGTCTGGTGGACAAACAATGGGTGTTTTTTTTGCAAAAGAAAAGACGGCCTACTGTTTGGTCCCCCCAGAGCATTACCTCTAGGAAATCAATGCAAGGGGTCTATTAGAAACGACACTAGGGGAAAACGTTTGCGCATGCGTGCCTTTCTTCACGTTTACTAAGAATTTAGAAGAGTTTGGTGAGAAAATAAATATTAGTTTTCTCCGAGTATACAAAAAAGACCAAGCTCACTAATAAAGGCAATGTAAAAAATAATAATAAGTTTCACGCACTGACTCTGCTTTGGCATTGTGTGAAGTACATTTGTCATGCATGTTTGAAAGTAAATTGACATATTTTCACAATAGCAGAAAGACGTTTGGACTAAGGACTTGAAGCATGCGCAGACGTGTTTCACTAGTGATATTAGAAACCAGAGGAGGAAATGGGGCTATCCCAAGTGCCTTTGTGTGTTTAGTTCAGTTACGGCTTTTAAATAAAATGTATTCTTTGAACCGCATTGGTCAGTACAAGTAGACAGCTCTACCAAATTTTGAAAATAATTAATTAAAGTAATCGGTGTCGGATAGAAGATATATTGTGGTAGGTATATTTAAGGAATGGTCAATGCTTAGCGTGCGTATAACCAGTTCTGGATACACGCGGTAGGCTGCTAAGCACGAAAGAAGCGTAAGAGTCGTACGAGGCGTAGCCGAGTGCAACTCTAGATTCTTGAGTGCTTAAGCAACATCCCAAGTGCATTCAGAACTGGATATACGCACAACTAAGCATTAACCATTGCTTTTATAAAACAGCAAAATCGTAAAATATATTTGTTTTTCAAAAAAAAAATTCAAATTTTGTTCTAATCGTGGCCATGTTATAAAACAGGATACATAGCACATCATGGGATAGTTCCAGGTACCTCATCACTACTAATTAAAAAGAAAAAAAGACAAAAACAAAACAAAAAAAAAAACGAAAAACTTACTAATATATACTTGCTTTGTTTGTTTCAGACTGGAAGAAACTCTAAATCTAAATAACAAGCTGGACCAATCAGTTCGAAAGAAAGAAGAAAATATAAGGACACTAGAGAAAACATTACAAAGCTACGAAAAGAGGTAACAGTTAGTTACTTAGTTCACAACAGTTTTAGGGCATGCATGGACCTTTAAGATGTTACTACCTGTAGTCACAATGACATTTGTAAGACAATGATAGGGTGTTTTAATGCTATATTAATCAGGGTATATATGACTTACTCTCTAATTTTAGAGAAGAAGAATTGGAAGTTTTACTAGAAACCAGAACCGATAAGTTATCAGGAAGTAAAAAGAGGTAAGACATTTCCTTTTATTCTATCTATTCTTGCCATCCTTCTACCTTCTTTTTTCTTAAGATTTTCCTCTTTTTTTTTCTTTCTTTCTTTCTTCTATTCTTTTCTTTCTCTTCCTGGCTTTTTTTCTTTAGCACTTTTCCTTCCATTTTTAGTTTTTATTTTGTTTCATTTTGCCTTGGCATTGTTTTTATGTGCATGTATCATTGTGATATCTTTACAGAGTACTAGAGTTGATGGACATGATTGAAAGAAAAGACAATGAAATCGAAGAATTAAGGAAAAGGTAAAGATTTCAGTAGATGACGGCTGCAAATCCTTTTTTTTTTTCGGAGTTATTGTAGAGAAAGATGTTTCTAATATTATTATTTTTACTCAGACTTGAGGAATTTAAAAGTGCTACATCATCAGAAGAGATAATTACAGCTGCATTGAAAGAGAAGGACTCACAGCTGGCAGATATTACAAGAAAGTATGTAGTACACATTATACATTACTATATGCAATGAAAGATCAAGTAATTACTATATACAAGGAAAGATTAAGTGAGAGGGGTCAGTGTTTTCATAGCCTGCGAACATGATCACATTATACATAACACATACATACATCCCTCCCCCGGAGAGCCTGTTAAAGGGCTAGTGTTGTAAGTAGTAAGAGCAGATTGAAAACCACACAAAGAAATGAATAAAATAGCATGGTTTCTGTATAATGTCAAGTTTTTATTCATTCATTGGTTGTCTTTTTAATGTTTTAGTCTAGAGGAAATGGAAGAAGAAAAACGAAAAATGGCTAATAAAATGAAACTCAAGGAACAAAAGATCGAGACGCTAGAGAAACAGTAAGCAAAAATTGATATTTTAGTTTAATGTACCCCATAGTACAATCCCATAGTACCCCATTTTTCGAAGATGACGTCTATTTTGTCCCAAAAAACAGTCCGACAATTCACCGCAATGCTGGCCAACTCCCCAGATTTTTCCTCAAGTCTTGGAATGGCTAATTTGGATTGCGGGCCCTTACAAGAAAATAACACTAAAGAAACATGTTCAATATGATTGAATTATAAACCATTGTGTTGGGCTGCAAATTAGTGCTGGTCGTTAGATAAATGTCTGGTAAAAATGACCACTTTACTGGTAAATTATTCACCTTGGCCAGATATTTGGCCAAATATTTGACCAGCAAAATTTGGATGTTTACATGTCAAATATGTATCCAGCATGAAAAATGACCTGCTTCAAGTTATCGAAAAGTTATTTTCAGCCTTGATTGTGACCAAAACAAACACTTCCAAAAAAAGGTCTCTATAAAGACATTATGTTTTATATGATTCCAGGATAGAAGAGTTGGATGTTGCAAAATACAATAAAGATGAAAAACGCACGATCAAACAGAACGAAACAAGAATCTCAATACTAACCCAGAATAACAAGAAACTAGAATCAGATTTATATAATATGGAAAGCAAGTAAGTTAACAAAATCTGGACTTTCCCTCGTCATTGACATTATAAAAGACATTGCAAAGTATGTTGGGCTTGTTAAGGTCTCATTGCCTGATGTCTTCCTTTCCATACTCCATTCTTCAGTTTCTACATTTATTTCTTTTATCTACTTTTTCGTAAGGCTTGAAGAAACGAATTCTCAAGTAAACAAGCTTAGCCGTACACTAGATCAAAAAGAAGATCGCATAAAATCTCTCAAGTCTCGATTGGAGGATGCTGTTCATCAAAACAACAAGCTGAATCACGCGCTAGAACTCAAAGACGATAAAATTAAAAATATGGAAGATAGGTATGGGGTAAAAAAAAACACTTTCCTCCGCGTCCATGATAACTTCATTTGGGAAAATGGATTCAATAATAATCCCAGTGCGAGTGAAATCATCCCATTGGCCAAATCATAGCAAATGTTTGGACAAAATTTATTTGTGTAATTAGAATTTCATTGGACCAGGGCGTAATCGTGGCGTGTTTTTTTTTTTTTTTTTTCATAGACTTGAAGAGTCTTCCAAGCAGATTGTACACTTGAGAGAAGTAAGTTTGTTGGTGTTACATTGATTCTTTTTTCTTTCTTCTTTTCCCCAAGTCCCGTCCCTTCCCTTCCAATCCCTTTGTTGCTTTCTGTTTTTGATTATAATGAATAGCTTCTTAGCCCAAGGTTTTGCCCTGTAAAACAAAACAAGTATTGTTTTTTTAACTAAAGGGTTTTCAAGGAAAGACGCCAGAAAAAGATCAGAAACCAAAAAATACTTCGACTTCTATTATATTTAAACCGGCGTACAATTCAAGGTATTGTAAAACATAACTTCGCCTTAATTCATGCCAAAACCTAAAACACTTTGGCGGCAGAACTTTACACAAAGACTGATTTCATTTTTCACGTCTTCTTATCCAGGGATGATCGTAAAACAGTTCAAATGTTATCAGTAGCAGACAAGAGAATTGCAGATTTGAACGAAGAAATTCGTGCCTTAGAAAAGCAGGTTCGTAAACTTAAAACGTATTAAACTGCTTTGCCCACTTGAAACATATAATAACTAAAATCAAGAGGAAGATTTCTTACCAAATCTGAGTGTTCCTTTGGCTCTGTCATTACATTATTATTTTACATCATTTTTCTACTCACCACGTTTCGTTCTTTTCTTCAGAATGCAACCATTAAGACCCAGAGTGAAGCCATGTCATCACGCAACGCCCAGCTAGAGATTGAGATGGAGTCACTGCGCATGGAGTTGCAAATAACAAAAGGTGACTACGCATGTTTAGTGGCTGAACTGAACGAAGCTCGTGACTATTATCATCAACTTGATCTTTCCGCTACAACTATGGGACATCGATGTGAGGTGAGTAAGCGAATGCTACTGTCTAGAACTATGGCTATCACTTTTGAAGCCAAGGTAATACGTTGACAATATTTTGAATAAAATTGTTGTAGATGCTGAGTCAACTGAATGCTACATTAGAAGAGGAAAACAAGGCACTGCACGACAAAGTTAGCTGGCTTATGGGTCAGGTATGGAGAGACATCATCGTTATCAGTATATTATTGGAAAACAATACTCAAAACACTCGAAGCATTTTTCTATATTATCATTCAATCACGTTTAATTTGTTTATTCCTTTCGTTAAATCTATGTTCCTTCGTTCCATCCTTCCTTTCTTTATTTGTTTTTCCTTTTTCTTTCGCGTCATTCATCCATCCATCAATCCATGCATCCAACAATCCATCCATTCATTTGTTTATTTGTTTTTGTTTTTGTTTTGATAGAATCGAGAACTCATGGTAAAATCCTTAGAAGAAAAAGATCAGTTCATGGAGGAAGAACGAATATTCTCGTAAGTACTATGCATGGCTCATTTGCCTTGCCGTCCAGCTATAGCGTACATTGGAATCAATATTTTGCTGAAACTCTTTTAATTTATTTATAGTGACAGGTTGTATAATCTTCAACGAACCAAAGAGAAACTAGAAGAGCAAATCGACCTTGCGAATAAGGCGCTTTCTGAGTCTGCACCGCCTAAAAAGTAAGTAAAGCAGACATAGTTATAGTTAGTAAGAGCTACTGCAAGTATATTTGGTATATGCTTGTTTTTAACTTAGGCATTTATAAATAGAGATAACTAGCTAAAAACTAGTGTGAGCTGCGTCGGTGTTTCTAACGAAACAGTAATGATAAACGGGTAAATTATACACCGTGAAAAGATGAAAAAACTTACTGACGTTTCGGACGCTAGTCCTTCGTTGGAGTAAAATTTATAAATCGCTACTGCTCTTAACGCTAATTGTGATTTTGAATTCCTTACAAGAACGTTGCTTTCTTGCATTTTACGAACGGTAGTAACAGAACTTCATGATATACTTCAGAAATAATTGCGCCTTCTTCACGCTCATTTTTCCACGCAAGCACATATACATACATTATAATCATGATCACACAAACTGACACTTTTGCTGGCAAAACGATTTTGATTTATTGTGTTTATTATTATCTCTAGAAAACCTGGATTTTTCAAGAAAGTTTTCCAAAAGGCTGGTCTCAAGAAGGTACATATCTACATACACCTATAATTGCAAGAAGTTTGTCATATAAAAAAACAAATTATGTAAACTTTTTTCTCATAGTTTATATTCTTCTTCCAATACTAAAATGAAATAAGAGCTCCCTTGAGCAATCTGCAATGCAAGGCCGTGTAAGATTAATACCAATTGCAATTGACAACGTTCTTGCAATTTGCCGCATTTGTTCATCACGGCAGATTAATTGAACAAGGCAAATAAACATTGATAATCAAAAGTTAAAAATACTGGCAATAAAAAAAGTGAATCAAGGAAAGTATCTGTAAAATAATGTCCCGAGAAATAAGTCTTAGTCACATGTAAATTGACGTAACTTGCTTACTTGCTCCTCAGAAAAAAGACGAGTCAAACAAATCAAAGAACCCTGTGCAACTGTTGAAGGTTGAGTACAGCGATGATGTGGATACAAGCATTCTAAGTGGTTCAGAACACCCAGATGACAGCTTATCTTCGTTACATGGGACACCAGGTCGGCGCTATGACGAGTCCAGCATTGCTTCAAGAGAAAGCTCCACATCTGGTGACTCTAGCAGGGGTACGGCATCAAAAAGTGCCTTCAGTCCAAATTTAGGTCCCAAGTCTGAAGTAGTTATGAGGAAAGGTAGAAACCAACCCAACTATCCTGCTGTCGCTAGCACTTCTGCCATGATGAGTACACGTGAAATCGAGATGGTTCAACAGCGGAAAGTGTCGGATGTATCTGCTTTCAGAGCTCGTCAAGTTCGATCAGAGATATTTGCTGATAATTTCAACCCAGGAAGACTCAACAGACCCAAGAGCCTTGACAATTTGAACAAAATTGGTGGTTTTCGTGGCAGCAATGATACTCTTTCTTCTGGTAGTGCAGTTGAGTCAACACCTAACCGAAGCTCTCGTGGACACGCAAGAATCACTCCTCCTTCTTCTCCAATAAATGCATTTAGGGTAATCCCACAACAAAACAGTAGCCCCTACAGCTCTCCAAAAACATCTAAGAAAGGAATTTCGTCACGTAGTAGCAGCCCCCCAACTAATAAGTCTCCTGTCGTCCCTCGAAGAATGCGAGCTAGTCCAATGTCTTCGTCCGTCAATGACAGATCTCCACAATACTCTCAAGATTCTGTTAGAGACCCTTCCACGCCTCCACGATCACGACGCTCAAGCTTTTCAAGTGCAATATCAGGTCACGAAAGTGATCAGGAAATGGAAAGAATAGACAACATGTCTGTCTCGTCAATGCGTTCAAGTATTGTAGAAAGAACACCACCTCCATATCCGAGGGACGCAAAAGATGAAAGTGCTTCCAAAAGTAAACGATCCAGTATTGCCGAAAGAGGACCCCCACCTCCATACCATAGACGTCCAGCTTCAGGTCTTGATGCGGAGAAAAGAGAAGACAGTTCTCCACATTCCAAACGATCAAGCACTGCTGAACGACGACCACCCCCCTACCCACGAGGACCAGAGACAGACTTCCAACCAGAGCATCCTTCTGCAAGGTCTCCATATGCTCTTAATAGAAGCGCTAGCTTCCACAGCAGATCAGGAGTTTCCAGGGAAGAGCAAACTGCTGTAACAAGAGGTAGCAAAAGGGAAAGTCTTAGAGAGAAGAAAACCGCCAGCTTGGAAAGCAGAGAGCAAGCTCCGAGACATTCTCCATTACAAACAACAACCCGTAGAAACGAACGAATGCCTCATACCAAAGATTCTCCAAATGCAAAAAATTTTGATTCATCCGTGGACAGTGAGTCAGAAGTTCTTATTGATGCAACCGAGTCTGTTGTAAGTGCTGTACCGTTAAGTCCGGCCAGTTCTATAGCTTCTCCAAACAATGTTGTCTCGCCAAGTGATAACAGTAGCAGTACTGTAAAAGTGGCTAGTTACATCCGACAAAACGAATCACTTCAAGAATCACCTCTGAGAAGAATGAATAGCATCCCCAGACATAATGCGCGATCGAGGAGTATGGATGAGTCATCACCTCTCAAGACACGGAAAGAGCCGACAAAAGCCGACAAGGGTGAATCCTGTTTTGCTGCTGTAATGGTTCGCCAGAAGTCGTTAACTGAAGAACCGTTGCCTTCCAGTGAAACTAGATCGTCAGATGTTGCATCTGGAGCTAACAACGTAGTCCGAGCTAGGGTTACCTCATTTGAACAACAAAAACCTGAGCAAATACCAAAGTCTTCAACTTTATCCAATCTGCCGGTGCAAGGAAGTCCTATTCGCAACGACGATGATGAAGACGACAGATGGTCAAAAATATCATCTGGGACTGACAACTCGCATTCAAGGCGAGAGCGTCAAGGCGCCTCGAGCCCAAACTCACAAACTCAACGGGACGACAATCAATCTGAAGAACGTTCGAATTCCAGGAATAGTTCGCGGGCATCGCAGCAGCGAGATCGTAAGGGCACAACTCATCAGTGGTTAGAATATGGATGTGTATGATAATACACTGCACACACTTATTTATTGCTAATTTAAGACAATCACAGTAAAAGATATTTATTAGTTGTCGCTGGAATAAAACGTCAAAACGCTTGGGTCAATCTACAATTAGAGTGCAAAACTAAGTAATGACAGGTATTGTAGAGTGATTGCCATCTGCGTCAATACAATGAGATGTTTAGAAACTAACCCGTCAGTTGGTTAAAGGCAATAGAGTTTAACTCTAATAGAGTGCATACTATATGTCCGTGAAAAACTTCGTATGAAATTGTACAAATTTGCACAAAATAATAATAATAATAATAATAATAATAATAAATTTATTATTTATAAAGCGCCTTTCCTTGTGCTCAAAGCGCTGTTTACAAGTACGATCAAAAAACTAATAGACAACTATTTAAACAAACTAAATTCTAATAGGATCTAAACTTAAAAAAATAAGCTAACCTAAAAAGATAAGTCTTGAGTTGCTTAGTAAGCTCAGTAGACCCACGAGAGTAGATTTACAAAACTTTGCACTCGTTTGTACAATGTTGTTAACTTTTTCACGGATATTTGGTATGCACTCCATCTCCTATTGAAAAACTTTGGCGCTGTTATTATCGTGTGTGATATTATATTATGGGCTTTGTGTAGTAATATGTAGTTAAGTTAAGTCGTTGTGAATTATGGCAAATGGGATCGCTAGACAATTGAGTTTAAATAGCAAGGTTTTATATTCAAATCTTAAGATATATTAAATGTACGTTATGCAAGATAGTTGCCAATCAATGCGTGTGATACGTTAATGCTTAATAGCTTATAGCCATTAGTTTTGTGTTCTAGTATTTTTTTAATTGGGTTTAATAGTAAAATTATTAAAAAGATTAATGCATGGTTTAAATATACTTTATAGTTATTGTAAAACTAGAAGGTTGCATCCCAAGACATCAACAGAACTGCATCATTTTGTAATCCACACGTTTAGCAATCTACTTTCTTAATTGCAGCTGCAATTTTTCAAGTTCCGACTTTTGTATAGTTCAACACTGTTTTCTACTTCAGAGATTTTTAAGTAATCCATCCATTTGATATATTTTTTGAATGAACGACTTATCTTACATTTCTTCCAACATGGAAATCTCATAAAGTTTGTATTCCTGCAATCAATCATGTATACATAATGAACACGTAATTATTATCACTTGGTTGTAAAAAGTCGTAGAATACCTGATTAGCAAGTGATTATCAGCCAAATAAACATTTTGTTAATATTTTAGTTCGTTCCTCGTCGTTTTATGACTTACATTATTGATGGGTTGCAAGCTTTCCCAAGGAGTCAAAGGACAAAAACATGGCGGCCATTTTGGTGCCGTTAACAATGGATGGTAATGAAAAATCTTTTGTTAAAAAGCACCAACATGGCCGCGATGACGTAACGTGCAATCGAAGAATACATATCTCTGACTTGTGAAATTTACAATTTTTAAACAGACGTTTCGGTCTAAACAAAAACCTACGCGCTTCCACACAGTTGATAATGCTATTTCTTCGTGAATACGAATGAAATCGGCCACCAAAGTTAACCTTCAATTAAAATGTACAACTGCTATATATGTAAGCGCTAAAAATTATCACGTGACTGGTTACGTGATCTCTAAAATATGGAGGAATAGTAAAGTGTGTGTTCTCTGTGTTGTTTTTTAAGCCCAAGCTCGCAAAATGAATATTTATTCCTTTTTTGTTGACTTTTACTTTCTTTATCTGCTTGTTATCGTCATAGGATAAGCCTTAGGGGGAAAAGCTCATTACCGTATCACGTTGTATCAGTTTCACATCTTGCATGGAAAGAAGGCTAGTCGCTTGGCAAACCAAAAGATCATGTCTATGCCCTCACATCTCAATGTAAAAATAAAAAATTAAACCGTTACTTTCTGATTCAAACAATATATTATACTATTTGGTTCTTCAACTATATTGATGATCATCATGAGAATGATAGTTCTCACTCAGAATCCTGTGGCGGATTTAGGGGGGGTTCATTGGGTGCAAATGAACCCCCACCGGCTAATACCTTGGATCTTTATATTTTTTTAAATAAATAAATAAAAGTATGGAACTAACTCATGAGATTTAATATGAAATGTGACTGGTGGATAGGTTATCCTTATCAGGAGCGCCCCTAGGCCAGTGATGCATCAAGTTTGAGAGCCGGGGTGAATTCCAATCAGTATTTGGGTGCAAGTTCGGCAAACTGCACTACTGCCCGCTAATTTCAATACTTCAACTAAAGCCATGCCATCGATGAGACGAAATAGTGTCTTGTGGGAATGTTTGGAGTCATCTGTGGGGAAACGTTCACTTTGGCTTCAATAAGAGCTGCTAAGGTACTCTTAGGGTCTTCCTCAAGCTGCTATTTTGCCAGGTGCCAACGAGAACGGGACGGGCCAATGCTCATAGCATAGAACTTCTGAGTAACCTGTCTAATAGTGTTGGGGACGATTAAAAACAGCTGTCCTTCTATAACAAGCTTTTCATTCGCTGCCTTTACTTGGACTTTTAGTCTTGATTTGCTTGGAAGGTTTTCACCTAACTGCTATTTTTATAAACATGCGAACTCTGTTGCCGCGATCGCGAGCTTCACGCTGAAGTTTGGTTTTTCGTTGCCACCAGTCAAAAATATAAAAGGTACCGACTGATTAGTTTTGATTGACAGAAGCGAAAAACCAAATGTCAGCATGCAGCTCGCACCTAGCGAGTTCGCATGTTTATGAAAATAGCAGTAACCTCAGAAATCGGATCCTAGAAGCTTATTTTATCAGTCTTCAAAAGTTTCCCTACATCAGCCTCATCCCGCGCTAGCCATTTCGCGGTCTATAATATCTATATTATAATACACTAATAAAATTCCCCGCCACGGAAAAATTCTCTCCGGTTTAACAAGCTCTACCATATACCATAGGCACCTTTCCCAGCCAACTATTAATGCCTGTAGTGCTTGGGCTTCCTGTGCCCAATAGGGCGTACCGCTGATAGTTTGTATTTATTTGAGCCTAATGTCGTAACACATATTTTCGGTAGAGTTGTTCGCGTCTTTAGTACTTTTGACTGCATGTTATCAAGGTCTTCCAGCGAGTTCTTAGTCGATACAAGCTGTAATTTGTGAGTATATTTTGTACCAATCTCTAAAAGTACATACTGCTTATGTCAAACATTCTATAAGGATAGATTTTATATATTACTGATTAAATTTCCCAAATACTATACTTTGGGCTCTTTCTCAGTAAATTATATCCCAGCCCCATGGATACATCTCTATACATGTGTATATAGAGCGTTTTCACTCACGCTGCCGGCCAATCATTTATGCAAACTCCAACGAGTGCAGAATGCTACAGCGAGACATATCAGTCGATTTGATCACATTACTTCTGTATACGCTACGCTGGCTACCCATTAAATACAGAATCACTTACAAGGGTATAAATCGACTTTCACCGGAATATATTTTTGAACTCATTAAGCCTAAGGCTGCATCTAGATATAACTTAAGATCATCCACAGAACTGCTACTTGAAAGACCGAGAATAAGAACACTAGAACAACAAGTCATTATTTATATTTCTAAATGTTAATATTTTTTTCTTAATTAAATACCTTTCAAAACTAGCTGAAACTGTATACAGGAGTTCAAAATAAACAAATCCACACAACAGTTAAGTCGACACACCTTTATTCACGTTTTTCCAAATAAAATACGGCATATTCCAAATCCCCATACATTCTCTTATAAATGTAGTGAGCTTGGGTTGCCTGTGGTTAGACCATCCATATTAACTACAGAGGGAACTTTTAAAAGGACCCCATGGTGGGGGGGGGGGGGGGGGGGGGGGGGGGGGGGGGGGGGGGGGGGAGCTGTCAAAGAAAAATTGGAGAGAATCGATAGGTGGGCATTATTCATTCATCCATTCATTTATCCTTCCATTCATCCATTCATCCATTCATTTATCCATCCATTCATTCATTCATTCATTTATTTCTTTATTTGTTTATTATTATTATTATTATTTTCAGAAATTTGACTATCATTTTTTTGATTATGTTATATTTTTATATTTATAACATATCATAAATTAGTAATATGATGTTCGTAATGCGCATGTGAGCATCTTCCAATGGAACATGGCAAATAGACTCTTCCACAGTCTCTCGCTCGTCCGTTCCGTCTCCACGCTTAGAGACTGTAACAGTACAATGACCGAAAGGACTTATGGGTCCCAAAAACTTGGACCCGGCGTGCTTTGGGAACCAAAATACTCGCACACAGTCTCTCTCGCTTTCGCCGTCATCTTGAAAATATTGAAACGAGAGAGACTGGTTCCCAAAGCACGCCGAGTCCAAGTTTTTGGGACCCATAAGTCCTGTACTGTTACATGTACTGTTACAGTCTCTAAGCGTGGAGACGGAACAGACAAGCGAGAGTCTGTGGAAGAGTCTACATGTCAAATAGACATATTAAATTATTAATTATTATATAGAGCATTTTCACTCATGTGAGAAGGCAGTCATATTGGTGTACCAAACAATAGAAACTTTCTGCATAGTATTTGCATAAAAATAGAGTTCAATTCCCATAGGACAGAAAATGTTGTTTTGGTACACCAATGTGGCTGCTTGTGATGCCACGTGAAAACACTCTATTAGTCCTGCATGTATACATGTCTCAAGTACCTCTGATATACACCATATACACATTGGACACTTGTGTATTAGACACATAGACAATCGTATATGGAAAAATATGTGTCTCAGCTAGGAACTCCTGATATACACACATACCCATATACACATAGACTCTTGTTATATATATGCACTATAATAACATATACACAGTAAACACTTGTATATGGACAGATATGTCTCACATAGACACACAGACACTTGTGTATATGTAAACACAGACACTTTTGTATATGATATTGTGTCTCAGGCACGTATTGTATCTATGAGGGCAATGGGCAATTTCACATGAAGCATGTAAAATTTAAAAAATTAAAATCCCTCATTTTTCCTCAAATRTTTTGGAAATGAAATACAGGAACTCTGAACCATTTAATAAATACTAGGTTGCTCTAATATTGACCACACCTAATTGTATATAATCCAGGGGAAGCATTTTCTATAAGACTACTTAAAAGTCAAAAATTGAGATATTTGAACCGCACCATTTGAATTTCAGGAACAGAAAGACTAAAACTACTTCAATACTATGGCAATAATGCATAGATAGACCCATAAGGTCTTAAATCTCAATAGACTCTTTCAAATCCAATTTTCATCCACAAATAGCAGACTTGTAAACTGCCAAATATGTTTTGCATGTATTACATGATCCCAACACAAATAGACCTTATTTTTTAATTTCCCGGTTTATTTTTAATTTTCCGGTTTATTTTTAATTTTCCATACGAAATAATAAGTATAGGAAATCACACGATCTCGAGTACAATTTGGAAATTAATAGACATGAGTAATGTTTTGAAAGTTCTTTCAAAACATTACGAGTGTCTATTAATTCCAAATTGTACATGAAGATCGTGTGATTTTTTGTTTATAGTTCACTCAACAAAATTTCAGTGTAAAAAATGCGGAGCGACGCCGTTCATCTTTTTTCCGATTTTCAGTCCATTGCGCAACTGAAATGCATAAAAAAGATTAGTTCTTACGGCTTTAAAATTTTATTTATATGTTTTTTAAGTACAAAATGATAGAAAATAATGGTTTTGACATTGTTTTGGCCGTGTTTCCATAGCGACTTAATTCGGTACTCCTACGGAGTACAATTAACGCTATGATTGTAATCCTCTCGACCAATCAGAGTCGAGTAATTTTGTTGAGTGTACTATAAGCATATGTAATAGGACTTCATGCTGTCCAATTAAGAAATAATTGGACGAGGAAAATTCCGAGGACTTCCAAAATTGGATGAGGCCGTAGGCTGAGTCCAATTTGGCAGTCAGAGGAATGTTTCGAGTCTAATTATTTCTTGATTGGGGAGCATGAAATCCCATTACCTATTAGTTATATAGCTGCCTAATTAATCCCATATCAGCAAGACCTGTCCAATTAAGAAAATAATTGGACAGTTACCTATATGAGATTAATGAGAAGCTATATAATAATAATAATAATGATAATAATAATAATAATGATAATAATAATGGGAGGTTCTTATATAGAGCATTTATACAACGTCTCAATGTGCTTTACATTCATGACCAGTGGAGGATTTTATGGGCTGCATATTAGGGCACTATTAGCAGCTGTGCAGCTTACAATCATGAGTGATTTGTTAGTACATTAGTGTTATTCCTCCAGATTGGGATAGGCTGTTGAACTGGGAGACAATCCCCTACTCTTACATGAATGACAGTTGTAATGACAGTCATAATGCTCTTTTTGCTTGTCAAGACCAACATTTTAGTCAAATTAGTTTTTTCGAAAAACTTTGCAAAACCTAGGAAAATGTGTTGTGGACATTACAGTTGCAGACATTACACAAACATAAAAATAAGAAAACACCCTATATCACAAAGATTTTGTATATACATTTTTCAAAACACATTTATTAAGGGTTTTACTGCCTGGTAAGTTAATCTTGCTTTAGTAAAAAAAAATATCAAGAAAATGATCTTCTTTTGTACATTATGCACAATATACGTGGAACTGTTTAAAATTCATATCAAAGTCTTATGTAAAAACTGTCGAAGTGAAACAAAAGTGCAAATGTTTAAAAAATTAATCTAGAGTATTTAAATTTACATGAATAATAACAATTAAATGTAACTAACATAATATAAGAGACCAATAACATACCAGTACATTAAATGTATTTTACGCTGGGAAAGTAAAAAAACCCACAAAAAAGGCCGAATTCCTTTAAAATAAGAAGATTTTTTGTTGGAAAAGAGAGAACATGTATACCAGAATTAGCTTTCCAATTTTTTTTCAATCAGTATATGTATTTTTTATACAAAAAGTTCATTTATTGTCATATTATAAATTTATTGGTTGGGCTTCCTGTGGTTAAACTGTGACATATCTAAATCAATAATAAACTTTGACAAACACAAAGAAACTCACTGTAATCTAAAATAACTGATGTCTTTGGATATTACTATATAGCATCTTCTTCATTACTACAATAAATCAACTTAAAACTTGAATTTTAAGGCAACAATCCAGATTGTAATGTCTGCAACACATTGTAAGTAATAATCTTTGGAAAAAAAAATTTCACATAGGTAAACAATTATAATCCCTAACAATGTTAGAAAATATATTTGCTTACTTTAAGCAACCAAGAGAGCATAATAAGAGGGAAACTTCCTATTGTGGCCGCTTAATGTAGATTCCCAGTTGGGCTATTTTTAGTAACCGGATGCAGTTTAAATTTCGCCTTACCCTACTCCCTTGCGTCATCAACTTGCGCACATGCACTCTTTCTGTTTATTGTTTTGATCACTAAAAACGAAACGGGAAGAGCACTAGCGCGCACAAGTTAATGACGTACGGGAGTAGGGTAAGGCGAAATTTAAACTGCGTCCTAAAAATTACTAAAATTAGCCCAACCGGGAATTTACATGGCACGCGCCACTAAGAAGTTTCCCTCTGTTATTAATGTTCTCTTGAAACTTCATATTCACAGGAATTGATCTTTTAAAAAGATGTCTCAACAATTTGGTTGTTTTTTTCTGTAAGGTCCGCAACATCCTTTAAAAAAAATATATTTAACAGCCTTAAAGAAAGAAAATTATATTTTTTTAATTACTTATTTAATTAAAGAGGACGTCCTAAGGTACTCTTTGCATAACGTCAAACACAACAGCTTTCTTCGACTAAAAAATGGCGGCTTTAAAATAGCTTCAATAAATGTCTATGAATGTAATGTCCGCAACGCGGAATGCCCCAAATTGTATCTATTTTGATAGAACACTGGTGATTTCTGTGATCTGATGGGCTCACAGCAATGCGGTTTGATCACGAATCAGACCATTTTGAGTTTTAAATCGCACTGTCTAGTAAGTCGCAGAAAACATATCATTCTACCAATCACATCACAGAAAAAAATAGCCCCTAAAGAGTACGAGAAAAAGATTGATGGGCATTTTCCGGGTGAAAGACAGTTTTTGTTTAACTTTTATATCAAAACTAAATGTTAAATTTATAATTATTGAAGGAGATTTCAAAATAGATATAATCATGTAAGTGGTAATTGAACTTCGTGTCGTGCATTTTTGGTCTGAAATCAGTCGTTTGATTTCAGAACAAATTGCACATTATGCATATGTAACATATAATCATTGGCTAATGTTTTCACAGCTTATAGAATTGAAGAAAACCTGGAACTAGACTGTAAATTCGCCAACAAATCAGCCTTTTGACCATGATGCCAGATGGGGAAAGTGGCAACCATTCATCTACTTTAAATTGGACTCCTGAAGAAGCAAGGAGACAGTTCAGTGACAACCTATCAATGCAACTCACGAACTCTTCATCAGGCTTCTGTAGTGGTTATCTTCAAACAAATGTAACTATTGTTCCCTCGTTGTTAGCAGATGATTTTACTGAATTCTGTCGGTTGAACAGCGCTCCTTGTCCACTGCTGTATCGCAGCAAGATTGGTGAAGTTGGTGCACCTCCATTAACCCCCAAAGGTTCAGACATAAGGTAGTCAAGAGCTGTTAAGTATACAGAGTGCCCACTTTTGAACGTTCAATTTTAGCTCACGAGCACGCCGCAAGAAAACAACAACAAAACACTGAATTAACAGAAACCACACACGTTTTGATCGAGCTTCAAGAGAGTAAAACGCCCACACGAAACTCCATGTTTTGTTTTTGCTCTAATCTGCTCTGCTCTGCTCTGCTCTGCTCTGCTCTGCTCTGCTCTGCTCTGCTCTGCTCTGCTCTGCTCTGCTCTGCTCTGCTCTGCTCTGCTCTGCTCT